TTCACAAAGTTAAAAATTCTATAAATGTATAAATATTTATTTAAGACTTTATTAAAGACATTTTTTAATACTTACTTTTATACAAAAAAATGTGTACCATTTGAATAGAATAATTTACGTAATACTATATAAAAATATTGTATTTAATTTTAAATATATGGTTTTAATGATAAAATATTATTTTAATTTACGTATTTAGAATAAGATATTGCATATTAAATATGTTATTATTTAAATGTAAAATAACAATGATAATTTATATTTACGATTTTTTTACAACGAGACTTTTATTTTATTAATTTATAATATATGTTATAACTTATATATCATAAATACGTATAGACAAATTGTAACGGCAGTATTAACAAACCTTATACATATTTTAGTCAAGTAATCTCGGTAAATCAAAGTTTTAAGAAAAAAGCAGAGAAAAAGGGAGGATTATTCGAGATCACACTTTGAAGGGTCGATTAATAAGAGCTACTCTTGTACCGTTGGCGAAACAGAAAGTGTGTGTGTGTGTGTGTGTGTGTGTGTGTGTGTGAGAGAGAGAGAGAGATGTAATACAGCCTTTAAACAAATCAACCATTATATTAGTGATAAAACAAAAGAAAGCAAAGCAATGCAATCATGGACTCTTCGCCAAAATACAACCATTCGTATGATCGGATGATCATCGTTCCAAAAAAGAAACCCCCATCGTGAGTTTTGGGGTGGAAACGTCTTTTAATATACACTATATCTTCAATGAGCCGAGGGGTTTCTTCTCCCTTCAGTTCAGAGAAAGAGGATGAGTCCGCCTTTTGCCTTTTTTAAACACATGTGAATACAGAAAACTATCTAACTAGATGTATGTAAAAATACAGAATGTATCGATATTAAAAGAACATTCTTAAATGAACACTTTACGTTTCATATAAAAATCCATAATTTTCTATATAAGATGCAACTTGATTACGAATATATCAAGGTTGTTATACTTGGATTTATTTTCCAACATTAAGAGGTAGAAATATTCATTGAATTAATTTCTTTTTTTTAATTGAACAATTTCAATGAAGTGATAAATAAAAATTATAAATGAAAATTTCTGTTGTAACATATTACATTATTGATGCTATTTTACAGCTTATTATTTATGTTTTTATAAGTAATAATATTAAATAATTATAAAATATATATATATCCTAATGGTATGTTTATGATAGTATGCAAGAAAATAAATGAATGAAAGCATCTAAGAAAAGATTCAATGCTTTTTATTCAAATTATGATATAAAATTTTTTTTTTAATTATGAAATTTTATAAATTTAAAGAATATATAAAATAAATTTTATTATATTATATTTGAAGTAATTGCTTGTGTTGTATAATTTTTTAAACCAATGTAAACTAATATTTATATTTAATAAAAATAAATATTAGAGCTTGAAATAATTGTGTACTATGTCCGATTTATTAATTCATTAATAGAAAGTGAATTTTTAGATTTCGAACATTCGAAATAAATGATTTATATATTAAAATAATGTATTAATATATAAAAATGAATTCCTTTTTCGTTTGATTTTAATAAGTATATGCTTTCATACAATTCTGTAATGTCTCAATAATATTAATTTTATAACATTGATTTTTATAATTACTATTTTAATCATGTTTTTACCTATGTAATGAATTTATTATTTGCTTCTATAGATATACAATATTTTTGTATTGTGCATGTTTTGTATTCTAAATGTATCATTTTTGTATAATACTTATATTCTCCTTTTTGAACGCACAAGCATATTTTTAATGTTAATTAAGAGTAAATTTACAATAGGATGAAGTATGTCTATGAAATAAGGTTCACTTTGGGTTACAAAATATATCCTGTCTATTTAGATTGCAACAGATTAAATTAATTTTATTAAATTAATTGGTAGTTAAGATTTAAGCGAGAGTTTAATTTATTTATTCTCTCCTTCATTTCAACTCGCACTCCATTTCATCAGCTCTAACCTGTTCGTACATTTGCTTTTAGTTTATATTTTAATTCGTAGTAGAAATCATATACTATTTTTTTCTGGAAATAGTCCTTAATGTGTATTTTTATTTATTTATGCTTTGGTATACATTAATTACATTTTAGAAAATCATTCCCAGTACCTATTTATACGTCAATGACAATTGTAGTGTTTGAAATATTGTTAATTAAATATATTTATTAGATTAAGACAATGATAAAATTAAATTATTTGTATTTAAGTATTAAATATAGCTATGGTCAATAGAATTATAAGGATTCATTCATCGAGGAAGATTAATACGTAAGTAGCCTTGCCTCTTTACATTGCTTATATCCAGTCACATTTTATTTAAAACAAGATCTCAACTTAGTTAAGCCATATCCATACACATACTATTAAATTTTTACTAGTGCAGAACAATATGCCAGTCATGACCTAGACATTGAAGCTTGGATTTCCTGCATCCTTGTGGAATACTTTGAATGGTGAAATTAAAGCCAAGTATTTTTACTATTAGTTAAATTATATTTTACATTTTTACACTTTAGCTTAAATTATATAAATGCTTGGAACATGTTAAATAATTGTAATAGGTGTACTAATTAAAGTATACTTTTAATAAATTTAGAAAATAAGAAAAGAAATTTTATTTATATTTTATTTTATGTATAAGATGAACTTTTTATTATAGCCATGTGATGAATATCTACAAATATTTTAAAATTCAAATATTCATCTAAGTTTCAGTCTATTATTTTATAACATTTTATAACATTTAATTTAAATCTACTTTATTACTCTGAGTAGACGAGCACCATTAAATGAAGGACATATGATTAACGGCAGGTTTATGATATATTCTTATGAAGCAAGAGACTTTTTAAAGACGAACAAGAAAATCGCAAACAAGATAAGAATATTTTCTGTTCAACTTTGTTGAATTAATGAGATCTCGACAGTTTAATTTATTCATCATTATATACCGTACTACATTTGAATAAATATGATTCAGTAATTTATCAAATAAACTTCTATATTTATTCGCCTCGCTCCTCGCAATCACAAATATTTTACGCGTTTAAAACAGTTGTAATCATTTGAATACAATTACAGCTGTTGATTCGAACTTAATTATTAGCCATTGAATCAGTAAATAAACGAATAATGATTTATAAAATGTATTATCATTATTATTTATTAAAAAATAACTGACTAATGTTTTTATTAAACTCTTATATTCTTTTTCGCATGTATCGTATCTTTTTGATGTTTATTTAATGTTTATTTATAATATATTTAATAATTGTTTATGATTTAATGAATATATCATTAAAGCATGAGTAAATTCAATGTTATTTTGATCTATATGAAAGTTATTAATGGCTTGATAAAATTTTTATAAGAAAATATTATCAAAAATTATAAATCATTTTACAATTGATAATGTTTTAAGTAAACAAAATATGAATGAGACACAAATACGAATATTTTAGACTTAATAATAAAATTTGATGTTTATTGATTGCGATGAATCATCTCAAAACATTTTTATAAATTAATTATAAAATTTTATATTGAAATTCTTAGTATATGTAAGGAATGATTCAAGCTATTCGTGTTTAGTGTATGGTACATAATCAAAGGACATAATATATTCGTAATTAGTTTAATTTTCCTATTTTAAATGTGAATTCATTCATATATTATAATTTGAACTAAATAGTAAGTAAAATTTATATTATACTTAAAGATTATTATTGAACATTTACTTTCTAATAAATATTTTATAAATATTCTATTAATAACTAATAGAATTATATATCAAATCCTTATTTTTATTATTTTTCGGAAACATTCAATGTAAAGACTAAAATTATAAAAAATATAAAATACTGATATTATAAGAAAAAAAATACTGAAATAGTATTTTTTATTCTTTATTTATATATATTGCTTTATTTATATTGCTTTTTATATTGTATATTTAATATTGTATATATATATATTTAATATATAATATAATATAATATAATATAGCAATATAAATATATATATATTTAATATTGCTATTTATATTACATATATTGCTTTATTATAATATATATATGCTATATATATTATAATCATACTATTGCTTTTATACACATAAGATATATATTTTAAAGGATTTCATTATATTTAAAAATATGAATCTCTAGATATTAATTGAATACTACAAATGTTAATCAAAATTTTGATAGAAATATTTATTTAAATGAAAGAGGTAAATATATATTGATAATTTCTTTATCGCGATTTTTTACCTATAATATAATATATCTAAACTTAAGAAAAGTAATAAGTATATTTTCTATTTGTTATTAATTATTATATTTTTTGTAACGAATAAATTTTAGTTAATTTGATTGAAAATTGATACTAATTTTCCATGATAATGATTTAATAAATATACAGTTTCAAATTATAATAATTGTACAGAAAACAATAATATAAAAAAAATTGTTTAAAATTAACAATTTTCATATTGAAAAATGAATAGATGGACTTACTTTTTTTACTCTTTTTTAATAATTATGTATTTATTCATTATTATAGTCATATACAGATTTGATTTTCTAATTAATAGTGTGTAATTTATACAAATATTCAGAATTCGGTTCTTAAAAACAATATCCATCTAAGAAAAATGTATCTAGTTAATAAATCCTTTAAATAATTATGTTTAATTTAATATAATCAAATTTATTAAAAAATCATATATTCATTTATTCATCATTAATTTTTTTTTTTTATTGTCACGGAATAGAATCTTTGTTATATTATTTGTCAAATATTAAATTTATTAGAATTGTGTATCTATTGTAATATACACTTTAAGGTAATAAATTCATTTTCAATTCATGTTGTTTGTTCAGAAAATCTAATTATAAATGTGGTAATATTGATTATAAGTTCTTCAATCTTCAAAGATTAATTTGTAATATCATTTAAGAAATTAAGGTAAGCAAGCATTTTTTGTAGTGTCCAGAACAATCATCCTGCAAATAAATAATTTATTATTAACATAAATTATTAATATTAATATTTTAACTATAACTAATACAAAAATTCTTAATCTAGAGCATTAATATTAATATAATATTAATACAGAAGAGATATTATGTTATTACTTTTATGGATTCAAAAAAATTCTAAAACACTGATAATCATAATTTAATAAACTTACTGAAATAAAATTTTCTAAACTTTGTCCATACTGGTACTTAAAAGCTTGTTTTATTTCGCCCATGTCAATTTCAGAACGTGTAATAATTATTCGTATAAGACTACGATCATTAGTACCCATTCCTTTCATACTTTTGTAAAGTTGTTCAGCAAAGAAACTCGCTTGATTTTTAATGCACTTAACTGTAATAAATTTTTTTAAGAATTTTAAAGAAGTAAAAATTTGAATGAATTTTTTAAGCCAAGTTATATATACCGATACTCAATAGGCCTATTTTAATATTTCCAGAGAATTCATTATCAATTGCTGTCTCAATATTATGTCCAGTAATATTGTAATACTCTGTAAAAATTTGTTTTAATTGAGCAACATTTCTTTGCACAAGAATTGCATTAAATGTTGATTCATCTGTTCCAAAACGAAGTTCTCCTATAATATTATGGATTTAAATTTTTAAATTTTCATTTGAAATTCAGTGGGATATGTATATATATATATATATATATATATATATATATAGAATATAATGTTTTTATTTCAATCTTACCAGCTTGAAGTAATCGCTTAGCATCATTAATAGCTTCAGCATTATTGACTTGAAATGTTTCATCTCTATTTCCACAAGAAAGAGAAACCAAAAATCTTTTAAAGTTTCCAGAAGTATCATTTCTTATGTCATCCTCTAATGATTTTCTATACACTATTATTATAATATTTTATTACAGTTTTATAAAGTTTACATTATATAAATGATAATCAACTTTAAATAATTAAATTTTATTTAATCTAGTTACTTTATTGTTATCATTAAATTATAATATCTTAATTAAATAATATATTTAAAAATTATTTATTTACAGTGATTAAATTTTAGTGCAACAAAAGCTTAAATAAATAAAATATATTTTTATATTACTATTATAATTTTTTAATCTATTTTTAGTTATTCAAAAAACGTACTTGTTTCGTATGAGTGCTTAATTTCTTGAATTTCATGATTTGACAATGTACAAAGTACCTCAATAAGTACACTTTCTTCTGTACCAATCCCTCTCATTGCATCATAAAGTTCTTTTGCATAGAATTGTGGTAAAGGCGTCATCATGGCAATAAGTAAATTATTAAAATTTCCAGAAGTTTCTACGTCTAACTGTCTTATTAAATCCTAATTAATAAAAATAGATGAAAAAATTTTCTTTATTAAAAATTTTCTACTAAAATAAATTTATAAGTATAAATATAAATATACTTTTCCATATAACGTCTTAAACTGAATAGCAATTTCTTGACGCTGTAAGTTAGTGCGATTTGCGATAATTTGAATAATAGATTTTTCATCAGTTCCAAAACCTTTCATTGCTTTACGTAGAACTTCAGCATCCACTCTTGAATCTAAATTTGGAAAAGGAATAACTGTTGGAGAGAACTGAAAAATAAATTTAAGAATTAAACTTAAACCATTATCTCTTAAATTATCCTAATAAACACAAGTAAGCCGAACATTATTATTTTATATAAATTATTAGGTTTAAAAATCTTTTTATTTAACACTATTTAAATTTTTTATACTACACTTCAGTTTTATTAGAGTATATAATTATTTTTATTAATTATAGAGTGTGATTTACAATTAAGTTTTTAGTAAACTATTAAGAATAAAGAATAAAGAATAAATTTTAAAAGTCACCTAATAAAATTAATATTAAATTTATTAAAAAATTATAATTAAATTTGCTTTTGAAACTTTGTGATTACTGGGGTATTCACTTTTGCATGGATCAGTTTTCTCTACTCTCACCTTAGTTGAAACCTGAGTCATTCGAGGGGCCGGTGCCATTTGAGATATCGATCCTCCATAAGAAAAGTTACCGCTACTAGCCCGACCCCCAGAATACCCTCTGCTCGGATAAGGAGACGAGCCACTACTATGTATAGGAATTGTAGGATCTGATTTTTCTAAACTGTTTAGATTAGGATATGAACCTGAACCAGAAGGAGCATAAGCAGGATTTTGTGAAATTATAGAACTTTGTTGTGAGGGAAAACCTTGTAATGGATATGGATTTTGCTGTGGTTGTAAATGATTATAAGTTTGTGATTGCTGCACTTGTGAGACAGGATAAGAATGGTGAAGTGATTGTGATGAATAAGGCTGTTGTGATTGCGAAGGATACAGTTGATTTTGGGGTTGCGGTAGACTGTATATTTGCTGTTGTGAAGGAAAAGCTTGTGCACCATATGTACTTTGAGAAGTTGAAAAATTTTGGGCAGAATATGCTAAAGACGGCTGAGGCATCGAAGATTGATGTATTGATTGTCCACTCATATTAAGATATGGTAATGGTTGAGATGTATAAGAATTAGGATATGGAGAATATGGTTGTGGCATAACGTAAGAGGGTGGGGCTTGTGAATTTGGAGGAGTATTTGGGGGAGCTGAAGGTGTTCCTGGAGGAACTCCGAACGAAGTCGGCGGTTTTTGTCCTGGGAATGCAACTGGTGGGCCCTTTTTTGTGACAATGTAAACAAGTGCAAAAAGTGCAAAAATTATAAATGAATACAGAGTTTGGCAATCTAAAATCTATCGCTTAAAATTTATTAGAATCACTAAATATAGCAAATTATTGATTATTTATATATAAGAATATTTGTCTATATAAATCTTATATCATTTTATTCAAAGTACAAGTCTAATTACTTTTGTATATTATATAATTATCATTATAACTATTAAAAAAATATTTTTTTCAATAGCCTGGATTTTTTTTTGGTATGATATTTAATATAAAATACTTGCATTCTTACAATTATAATTATAATTAATAATTTATCATATTTTTTATAAAACATAATTATATAAAATTATTTCATAATCAACTAAAAAGAAAATTTCAAAAAAATAAAAAATTTATACTTACTTGATATTCATAACTCATGTTGACGTTTTAATATTTTCTTCAATGTATGATTAGAGCAGAAATTTTCAATTTTGTTATCTGCAAGAAATTCAAATATATTAATTTATGATAATAAACTTAAATAAAAATATAATTAATCTATCATAACAAATTATAAACAAAATTTTAAACAAAAATTAAAATACAATGTTAGAAAGTTTGGCGAATCAGTTTTAAATGATTGAATTATAATAATAATTATTAAAAGAATAAAATAATTATGTTCATTATGATTTGTACAATATAATAAGTGTAAAAAAGTACAGATTACCAGTAACCATACATGAACAATAATAAAAATATAGAATATATTTATTTCTTATCTACTATGCATTCAATAAATCTATTAAAAAGTGTGCATACAACAACGAATCACTGGTATAATCTTATCTAATCTTAATTTATTACTTTTCAAATGACAAATTTTATACGTTAATACTATTCTGCACTTTGTAAAATCTAAATGTAAAGACTACAGAAATTACTATCGCGTGATTAAACGTACTGAAAACTTAGTAATCTTGCTAAAGTGTGAGTGTACAATCAAGATGAGATTTCAAAAGAAATGGTTCAACTCTTTAATTTGTTGCAACTATATTAATTTATATATATATATATAGTTCCAAACCAATAAATTGTCATCTAACTTTTACTATTGCGATTCAGGCAGGCCACGTCATGACATCCTATGACTTTTAAGGCCTCGATACACAGAAAAAATAGTGGGGGACTTTACTGGATGCATGTAGAAAATACTTTTGAAAATTTGATAATATAAAATTATTAAATCGGCAAGAAATTTGATTTTAATCATATTCATATAATATAATGATATAAAGAAAATATAAAAACAATTGCTTAATTTTTATACGAATATAAATTAAAAAAAAGTAAATCTTTGAAATCCTTTTCAATAATATACATGAATATAACAATTAGTTTTTAAATAATTTATTTTACCAAATTATTCTCAACAAATCTCAACAAATCTATTTTGGAGCATTTTTGAAAAAATACTATATTATTTATTTAGAATTTCTACATAATAGTTCTCTATACAATACCTTTTGTAATTAAAATTCAGATTTTATGCAAATTTGTGATATTTTAATCAATTAATTTATTTAAAAATCTATTTTATTAAATAAATTAGTTTTAACAACCAATTCTCGCATTTGCATACTATAGTATTTAATAAAATATGCTACACTCAGCAACATATTCCATTTATACTTTTATTAAGACAGACATAAAATTTTAATTAAATATTTTCTGTCGTCGTTTGTTGAAGTGCAAAATTTTTACGTTATTTTTTGTCTTTAATAAAATTTATCAATATTTCTTAAGAGCAATTCTTTCATTAGTTTTTTAACATTTAACATAAATATTTCAATTATATAAAAATATTGGAAGGTTTTTAAAATATGTAATTCGGAATACAAATATGTAAGTGTTACCAAGTTGTGTTCTTGTTTTTTACCGATTGCTTACTAATCTTAACTTATAATCCAATAAATTTCGTTTGTACACTATTTTTTATATTTATAAATTTACTGTAGTATATCACGTAAAGATATGAGAATCTATAAAAAGAATTTTTGCATTACATTGATTTTTAAATTTCTGTTAGTTTTTCTGCAATTAAATCACGCGCGATTTGTTGACATATCGGAGATATACTCGCGTTTAAGTAAATTATACTTACACAACCCGATGGACTTTGTTAACGTAATGTTAATGTCATTTTTTCATTAAATAACTATTCAAGTCTGTCGAGCATCGCATTAACTTCGGAGACATATTTATTTTTAAATTATATATTTACACCTGAAATACACAGGGATGTTAATTTCTTATGCATCATTGTTAACAACGTAAACAAATAGGTAAACACTGAGTCTCACAGTAAACGCGCATGCGTAGTGTGATTTCTGAAATATCGATGATTTCGATTAGCTTTATATCGACTATGTAGTAGATGTCCTTATTGCAAGTATTATTTCGCAAGATATTGCGAGTTCTAGACTAATTTTAAATTCCATTAATAAATATTAAGACGTGTACTTTATTACAAGCTGTTAATAGAATATTTTCTTTTCAGCGATGCAATCCGTTTTTATTAGAGAAGTAATGTGTATAATTTTACATATTAGATTTTGCTTACATATCTTGTATTATATATAGATGTAGATTTTTATTACTTTGGTATAATTAAAGGTGTGACAAGAAGATCAGCATTACTAAAACAAAAACCTCAAATAATCTAATTATAGATATAAATCATAATTAAAAATTCATAATGTATAATATTTGAATTATACATAAATAATATAATAATTAGGTTTGTAAATTTCATGAAATATTTTGAAGATTCTATAAATTTTATAGACTAATAAGTCTATTGAATACACGATTGGCTAGTTTGTATTCTTAGAATGAAGTTAAATTGCAATATCTTTATCAAGTATCAATCTTTTCTTAAATAATTAATTTTATTATTCGTATCTAAAGTTTTTCTAAATGTTTTTCTGAAATGTATATAAAAATATATTTCCATCTTTTAATTAATATCATTAAGTTTATTATTACATTACTATACTCTGTCAATAAAAATAATTAATTTAATTGAATAATTTTTATTTTTCTTCAGTGGCATAAAAACATTGATAATGTTATATCGATTTTTATTGTTTATAATATATTTTATTTTCATGTAAAAATTATAATTTTATTTCACAATCGAATATAAACAAATGCATGATTTTTATATAATATTTTAGTACATCTATGTTCATGGTAATTAATTATTTTTATTAATAACATACCATTATAAGTATCTTTAAATCAAATTGATATTTATTTATAATATATATTTTGATATATGGAAAAACAGATAAAACAAAATAGTACTTATTTAACTTGTTTAACCTCTAAATTTAACAAAATTTTTTTCAATATTTTTTATTTAAAAAATTTGTTTAATAAATTTTATAAAATAGTTTTTAACTAAATATAACAATTTTCAATAACAATAAGTACATTTGTGTTTTTGATAGGTATGTGTAATAGTAACTATTTAATATGTAGTCAGTATAGATAATTAATATATAAGAAATTTTGTGAGTCGTATATTTTTGTTCTTTAGACAATTGGATTTAAAAGAAACGTTTGTAATTGATATTATATAAATTTTTGGATTTACAGATTCTTGAAGCTACTAAAATGAAATTAATTTATATCATGATTGGGAAAATTAATATTAAGATTTAAGACCATTGTGATTATATATATATTTTTTTGCATTTATATATTTTTATACAATAAGACTAAATCATGTTTAAATAATAGATCAAATTGAAATACAATATTGAAATACCATTCGTCGTATAAAATAGATAGATTTTTCTTTTTCTTTCAAAATTTATATTTTATATATTGTATTTTTGAACAATAATTTAAATATTTATAAATTAACAATAATAAAAAGCTCTAATAAAATTCATCTGTATATATTACTTATTTGATTTATATTTCTGAAATAATACAAAATATAGTCTAATACTTTTTAAGATACTTAGACCTTTTAAATAAAATTTATAAAAGCTAAGGTTTTTACTGAGTATTCCAGAATTAAAATGATTAAATAATATGAAAAATACTTTCTTACATACATAGCGTTTATATCACTTATATTAATGCATTTCCTATTTACTATATAATTGAATTCTCTTTTAATGTCAATAATTTGTACTTTTTGTACTTTCCATTTACTTTTGTAATTTTTGTATAGCCTTTTGTATAATTTTTGTAAATTTTGTATAGCTTCTCAAATAGAATTTAGCCTCCGCCAATTATTCCTAATTCAACTATAAATTATAAATATGAAAATTATTACACCATAAATTTTTATTTTTAAATTAAAGTTATTAATAATATTTATGACTTAATAATATATAGATTAGTTAATATTTGTATTTAATCAATATTTGTAAAATCGCGGTATGAATAATTTTCAATTATTAATTTTATTGATATTAATTTAATGAATGATTTTAATTTAAATGTTTTAATTTTTCGAAAAAATTTGTTATCTAAATAAGCCATTTAATTCATTTTTTCAATAAATTTATTTTAAGCTTTGTTATATAAAAACGAAATATGGATTTTATTATAATATATTAAAAATTCATATAGAGAAATATAAAAATTGATTTTATATATTTTAAAATAAAATGACATTTTAATTTGAATAATTAAAATTATACGTTATTTATATGAATATATTATAAATTAAATGAAATTCATAATCTGTGTTAAAATATGAATAATAGTTTTACTATTTCACTAAATATTCCGGAATGGGATTATTATTTCTAGGAAAAGTATAATATAGTGATTTATATTATTGAATATTTTTAGCTCTTAAAAATAATATTTTTATCTTACATAAGTGTCTAGCTTTTATATTTATGGATTAAGATGTTTTCATTTATTAAATTTAAAAAATAGAAAATTATTACGGTTATTTTGATTTTATTTAGTTATAAATTTTTAAATGTAAAAGAAACTTCAGTGTTAATGAAAAAAAATTTAGTGTGAAGTGAGTGATAGAAATCGAAGATCGAGCAAGAAGGAGCGAAAGAGTAAAGGAGCGAGTGAGGGTAGAATGAATGAACGAGAAAGAGATATTGACAATATGCATTTAGAAATGAAATTTACGTAATTTCAATAGGCATAACAAGACTTCTAGTAGTACGGACATATTTATTTTAAAAAAGGAATAACAAGTTTCTTAAGGATTGATAAAATAAATTTGGTGCCTCGTTGAGTTTAGTGTATGTATTCTTATGCAAAGGATTTTTCTAAAGTACATTATTTACACATCATTTTCAACTAATTATTTATTTTCTAGAAAGAAAATGAATTTATATGCTAAATATGAAAATACAGAGAGCCGTGGGCAACTTCACTCTCGCATGTACAGTATTTAGAAGGTTAAGTCTGTTAAATATATATATGCAAAGCAAAATTTAACGTATTTAATGAAAACGGTGTTCTTTATCAAATAATTTTTATAATTTACAAATTTTTTATATACTAATTTAATATATATTATGAAGTGAAAGGTTTTTTAAATATTAAGTAAAATTGTAGCTTTTATGATTTAAATAACTTTGTATGGTATCCTTTATATTTACACCTTCCGTGCCTATTTCTTAATTCAATAATCAATCGTGTAATTGTGTATTAGAAATGAAATGCAATATGGAACAAGAAACAGAGTTTTCTGGGCTTAAGATATTTTAAGCAATCATTAATAAAATTTATAAGTTAAAGGATTAAATAATACAAATTTTAATATTATCGTTGCTACTGAGTATATTTATTATTTGTCATATATACAAATGGAATTAATAAAATGTGTAGCTACTGGACGCTCCTTTTCATATAATACTATTTGCGTTAAATATGAATAATTTCAATGACTTAATATTATTACGAATATATATTAATTGCATTAAAATATTTGTAAAACATTTTTAATATGTATTTCCTTGAATGATCATTATTTATAAACAAATTAACAAGAAAACTTGAAAATGTTTATATCAATTTCCAAAAATGATATTTTTATATAATTCTTTTGATTTTTTACATATACTAATACAATACTATTAATTAATAATAATTATTAAATATTTATCAGTAAATTTTTATTAAATTTTTATTATTATTAAGTATTAAAAATATATATTATAAATTAAAACATCATATGATTAATGAAAATTTAAAAGTGATTATTCAATTTAAATTTAAATACTGTATACATGTATTGTAATTAATTTTTTTAATTGATTTGATTAAATATTCTGTAATATTTTTAATCAGCAATTTCAATCGCGTAATTTTTAAATATTATTCTTCACTAAACTCATAATATATCTATTACTTAAACTAGTTTTTACTTAAATATTTTTTTTAATATTTTAGTTTTAAATTAAATTTTTTAATTAAAAATAACTATATTTAAATATTTCATGATATAATATATAAAATTTATATAATAAATGAAAATAATACAAAATTGTAAAATAAAATCTTATAAATATTTCTTAATTTGGATAAATAATTTATAAACAATAACAAATATAAATAATAAGTAATAGTATTGTATAGATAGTTTTAGAAGTTACTTACATTCAATAATTGAATGCAATAATTATTAAATTAAAAAATTATATTATATACAAATAACTATTTCTTTTTAGAAAATGTACTTTTTAATGTTTCTAGACCAATATTCTTTTAAATAAAAATTTTCAAAATGTCGATATTTAAGAATTAGATATTAAAAAATTATTAAACGTTTTATTATTCCAAAAGATTATATATCTTTGATTCCATTTTTATATCAGTTATTATATAAGGCAATGTTTTCAGTAATTATGTGTAATAATCAAATATGATGAGTCAGTTAGTTTAAATTTTAAACAATTAAGAAACTTTATAAACGTTAGTATAAATAAATATTATCAAAAAATTACTAAATGAACTTTTTCTATATAAAATTTAAAAAATATTTTTAAAAAAATTAAAAAAAAATGTTTTAAATTTCACTAAAGATATATTTCTATTGTTGAGTAAACATGTATGAAATTTAATAAACAATTTTACTGCTTTATAATTATATAAATTACAATCATGTAATATATAAGATTAGTCATTTTAATTCAATATTTAACAGCTATCGAGCTCATAAATTGATTGATATCTAATTGAATTATAAATAAGATTAAGTGGAAGATAGGTGAACTAGATAAAAAATATTTTGAATTTTAAAATAAACTCACTTATTAAGCTAATTTAGCTAGATGATAAACATTTAATACATGTGGACGTTATATATAGCAAAAGTAAACAAAGAAAAAATTTTATTTATTGTTAATGGATTCCGCTCATTTAAATAATTAAATAATATCTAAATCAAAAGTATATCCGTTAATATTAATAATTAAATAATATTATAAAACTTTTATTTTGAAAATTTTCATGAAAATAATAATGATTCAATCATACACGTATTTAGAATTTACAATGAAAAATGTAATTTTTATTAAAAACATGATAATTAAAAATCTAAAGCTAAATGTTTTATTTATGTTTGTGATATAACTATACCTATAGTATTACTTTTTTTTAAAATAATTTATAACTGTTCCTAAGGTTTCATTTATTCTTGGAATATGTAATTGTATTAAAAATACTTTTATTATAAAACAAATTAGTATTTATTTTGATGATAACAAGAAATTGTATTAATAAACAATTTTTTTTTTAAAGTGATTCTGTTATATAATCTCTAGTTAAAGTTAGTATTTTACAGAATCAGTATAAATATAAAGTATAGTATAAATTTGAAAAATTTAAGGTTGAAATACATATAAATGTATATATGTACCAATAAAATGCGCTACTTAAACAAAACACAGAATGATCTATTCCAGACACAACAAATTGTTACCCTATATAGTTGTTCTAAAATATCCATTTCCTCACAGCGAATTTTTTTTTTTCAGATCGTATTTTCAGATATATTATGTAGATCATAGACAATTTTACGTATACATCACGATGTATCCACGGATATCGAAATTAAGTGTTATTGCAATAAAATATTTAAAACAATTATTAATATATTGCATTATTAATAATAGTGTCTTTATTGTTATATTTATACTGAATATATTTAGCCATTATTTAAAGTTGGACAATTTCGTGTTATATGTTAATTCTCTTAAACATGAAAATATTTAGGTTGAATAACTAATAATAACAAATACTACTTGACCATTAAGACAGTGTTAGTGCTATTATTTATGTAATAAGAGTAATATAATTGATCTTTTTTAATATTTAATCTCGACAAAAGCGATATATAGGTTATATGTTATATAAGTTATAATAAGTTAGTATGAATAAAGTAATATGCAAAATATAAAAAAATAAAAAATATACACATTTTTTGTACTATAAAATTTTTACCAATGACAGAAATTATTTGCATTCTATGTTTAACACGTAAATGAATATTTCAAAATATTAAATATGTTAATTTAATTTAAATATCATATATATAAATATTATACCAACTAAATTTTTAAAATGTGAAGAATATATATGATATATATAGTATGATAAATATGATATATAGTAAGCATGATATACAGATGTGTAATTATTTAATGCTATTATATTTTATAATATGCTAATTTATTTAGTATTAAATAACAGCAGTTAAATCGTAAGTGCAAAATGGTAATTTATACTATTTGTATTCTTATAATATTAGTTGTTATTCGGTCGCGTATGATATTTAAAATATTAGTTAAAAAAAATTAAAAACGTAATTTTCCTTTAAGAAAGAAATGAGCAAAGCATAATTTTAATAGTACGTTTTTAAGTACAATCAATGCCTAAAACACTCTGTATAATAAAATTTAAATACTTGAAATAAAATAAATTACATTGAAATAAACTGTACGATAGTACATATTATAAATTTATTAATTATATAATTTCATTAGAATACATTTTTTAAATCAGAAAATTTAATTGAATGTATGAAATTATTATTCATAAAATTAAGAAAAATAAATATAAATTGATATTTTTTAAATATAATTTTTTCAAAAAACAATTAATATCAATAATTTATATTATTTATAAAAACGCTGTTCTATCATGTATGTCTTATCCTACAATTAATCTGATTACAATTAATTGATATTTTTTAAATCTTATTTTTTCAAAGAACAATTAATATCTATAATTTATATTATTTAAAAAAAAAAATGCTGTTCTATCATGTATTTCTTATCCTACAATTAATCTGATAAAAATAAGCTTACTGAAAACAAGAATTATTTGACTATGTATTTATTATGAATCTGTTAGATTAATAATATTTTGATTATTATATAATATTTTACTTAGATATTAATAATTATATTAATTAGATAACTGTTATTATAAAATTCATTCGATTTTTAATTTTTATTTATTAATAAAAGAGTGATTAATGTAAATATAATAAATAGTATAATAGTATAATAGTAATAAATATTAATTGAATATTAAATATTTTAGAATTGTATATTAATTAATTATTGAAATTAATACTACAACGTAGCAATCTAATAATTTTGAGTAATCTAGACATTTGAGATAAATCAATAATTTTTTTAGGCATTAAATCTTTTTACAATGAAAGATTCTTTATTATATTGTATATTGTTTTTTCTATTACTAATGATAATAAAATTAATAGAATTCGTTAATTTAGAATATTCTTTTCTGAATTAGAATCTTATGCAAAATTTGGAAATATTCAAAAATTAATTCGAAGAATAAATTATATGTATATTAATCAATAATTTTAATAAATTTTTATTTTCATATCAAATTTATTTAGATATCAAACAAATCTTTAATAGAAATTTATTTGCAGATGAAAAGTAATTTTCATTATTTTACTTAATCTCAAAATAAATCTTTTTTTAAAAATCACAATTTCAAAATTCATCTTATAAATAGATATAAAATTACACATAACTACTATAATTTAAGTTTTTTTATATTTTTGACGTTCAGTGCTCTTAACTTTTATATAATTTAGAATAATTATGCGATAAGGTGACTATTGATAAACTTCAAATATTACATGTTGCATAAGTTATTTAAAGTTTCAAATATTAAGGTAAAGTATATACAATATTTATAATTGTTTTGCATTATTTACGTTATTTTTAACTATTAAAATAATTTAAGCATTTAAGAAAAGTAATTTGTAATTATAAAATTATAAAATAAGAAATTTAATTCAAACGTTGTTACTTTTATTCTAGTATATATTAATTATTTGTGCGAAATAAAAATAAAATGATGTTAAATAATTATTTTTGCAATTATTTAAAGAATCTTGATTTTATAATTCTAAACTATTACGTTACATACACAACTCATAGTTATTAACCACAGTTATCTATAATATAATTTTCGAAAATTAAATTCCTATTCAACTTTAACTGACAAATTAAAATGTTATTTTATTATATTTTTTAATTAAATTTTCTTCATTTACATAGTAATTTTTGTCATTTGAATTTTCGAAAGTAATTTTATATTATAATATACAATAACGATATTTTAATGGTTATATTTGTATTAGATTATCGTTTAATATAATTCTACTTTCGTTGTTATCATAAAATCAGTGAATAATTGCTGGTATTATTGACATTTATTATATTAACACTGATACGGATTGTCCATGACTAAATGATACATTTATCATAAATCAATAATTAATCTACACTAAGATCGTGAGATGCTACCTTTTCTAGTTAAAGCGATGGAATTTTTTTATAAAGCAGGTGGGGGCGGCGACGTATGCACATGACGATTTTTGCTGTAGTAAGTTACTAAATATCGTTAACTTATACATAAACTTTATAATATTAGTTGAATGGTTTATTGAAAGAAGTTAGTACAAACGTGATATTAAGATAATCGTTATTATTTCATAATAGTTGTTACTATACATATAGATATCAAATTTTAAAACAATAAAATTACAGTTTAAATTAATTTTATTTAAATAAATTTTTAAATTCTGTTAAATATCTTAATTTCAGAATTTTTAACCTTAATGTATGTTTTGTGTTTCAGAATTATCAAAACTATCTCGATCACTCTCATAATGTTAATACTTCTTTTATCAATGATTGCTAAATTTATGATTACAGGTATAAATATATTTATTTAGAATCTGTATAAATTTTCAATTTTGTATTAAAATTCAAACATTTTTTTAGATATTGCAGTTTAATAATAATACGTAATACATATTTTTAGTATCTATTACACTTTAATTCATCTCTTTTACTTTTTTAGACAAAAAATAGTTCAATATATATTCGATATATATTTTAATTAGGATATACATTAGTAATATTAATAAAAATATTTAAATGTTAAAATTTATTTTATATTTAATTATTAAGAATATTTTTCTTAGTTAAATTTGATTTATTGATATGAATAAATTGATATGAAATTGAATAACATATCTCAAATTCCTATATTAAACTAAGTTTTAAAGTAATTTATATTAAGTTTATTTTAATTAAATATTATAAGTATCAAAATTTTATATATTTATTTAAATAATTTAATAAAATAACCCTTCAAGTAATATATAGTATAGATTTATTCGTTCATTTTTTGTTTAATTAAATTTTTCATTAAATTTATATTCATTTAATAAATACAGAAATATTTTATTATATTTTATATATTTATATAATACATATTATAAAAATAACAAATTTGTGTAAAAAAAGTATTATTTAAAAGCTTTTTGATATAAATAAATAAATCTAAATTAGATAAAATTATATTTTACAATTAATATTTTTAAAAGTTAATATTTATGTACTTGCAAGTTTTTAATGGTAGCTATTTATAAATAATTTATAGTTGTCGCTCAAGACTGTAATCCAGTAGATTTTGGAAGAGGTAGTATAGTATGCGAATGTAATTCTACTTATTGTGATTATTATGTTGATCCACAACCACTAAGTCCAGGAGAATTTATATGGTATGTTACAAGTAAAAGTGGAAAGAGATTGAGTCAATCAAATGGAAAGATTTCCAAAGAATTTATAGAAGGATCTTCTACAGTGCATATTGATTCAGATAATGAATACCAAACTATAGAAGGTTTTGGTGGAGCTTTCACTGATGCTGCAACTATGAATATAAAAAAGTTAAGCCAGGGATCTCAAGATAATTTATTAAGGTAAAAAAACTACATTTTCACTTTTATATATTAAATATGAATTATTTAAATTGTTATTATATATTTCATCTTTAAAAGTTTGTTAAAAATCTAATTTATACATTGTGTGAATTTATTAAGTTAAAAAAGTTTTTTAGTGTTTGGAAATTCAATATAAGCTTTAAAATTGTGTAACTATACAGTTTTATAGCAAAACATCATTTCCTACATTATAAAATACTTTAATAAAATATTTTAATATTAAATTATGAAATATAATAACTCATAAATAATATTACATATTTTTACATGTGTATTATACAAGAATAATTCTACTTTTTTCAAATAAATATAATTGTTTAAAAATTGGAAAAATTTCTGTGTTGACGTATGATAGATAACAGTCAAAATAATAGAACAATAAAAAGTCAGTTTTATTTAGCCAATTTTAAAAATAATACTTAAATAATATTTTTAAAATTTTAATGTTATAAAAATATTTATCTGAAAAATGGTTGTTCTTTTACAATTACTTTTCTATTTAGTAAATTTTATTGTATGATTGTATATTTTTAATCACATTAATATGAAATACTGAAAGACATTTTTTTTAAATGATAATGAGACAAATGCAAATGGTGTATGTCTAAAATCTAACTGCTATACAATCGCAAGTATTAAAGAGCTTATAGTTATAATATGCGTACTCTTCGCCATTAAGATCATTGTGCGATTGGAGAGTAGAGCTTTTAATAATCTTTTTGTTTAATATAGATTAAATAATAAATATAATATATATTAAATACATATATCATAGGTCATAAATAAGAAACATATTCAATTTATGTATAATACAGTAAGAGGTATATTTATTGTTCATTGTCTTTATTATTTCATATATTATATACAATAGCCCGTAAAATTTTTTTCATTTTCATTTATTAATCCTTCTATTATACAATAATTGTAAAAATCTATCGATCATTTCAAAATTTTTCAGCTATTTAGTACAGGTATAATACAAATACTACACATGGATAGTAATTTTCAATTTAAATAATTATAGGATAAAATGATCAATTCATGTATCAATCTCGGTTTATTCTTTATCTTGTAATTCAAATTTTACAATTTTATTCGATAGTTTTATCTACATACTAGTTTTACTATGTTTTGATCATAAGTTGATGTAACAGTTGTGCTAATTCTATTGTAGCTGAAAATATAGTAGTTGTTTAATGTACATTGATAGACGTACGTCTTGATTGTCGAATACACATCTTGATAGATTAAACCATCGTTTTAGACTATTCAGAGTTTTTATTTACAAATTTTTCAAGTAATTAAAATAAGGAATGTAATAGTTGCTATGCAAAATTGCATTTCTTAAGCAACCAATGTAAGATAATTTCAGAAGATTTCAGCTGAATAGGTTATTTGATAAATATTAGTACGATAATATAAGTACGTTTCTGCATTCATCTGTATTTACTATTAAAAGCATATCTTTTTAATATAATAACAAAAATCGATAAAAGGTATTGATGCAATAATTAAAAAGAAAGTTAGTGTTTACATAATTGTCAAATTTTTGTACTACGCCGTTGAAAGAAAAAACTTTGTGCTTTAACACGTCATTTATTTTCATATTTTTGTTTAGATAAGATATCAACTACGATAAATTAACATTTGTATAATATGGTCAAATACGTTATATTGCACGTTTATATTGCAAATTCATGTAAATACAATAATGAAAAATCAAATAAAACTCAAATAAAAAACAGTATACTCTAAAAAATGTCAAATGAAAATCGTCACTTATAACTACAATATTAAATCGATATTGCCTATCGATCGCTGAAATTATCTTCGCAACGAATAAATTTCAGGAAATGAATCTTATTAAATTCTCTGGATTAAATTTTATCAGTAGCAGACATATAAGCAGATTTATTGATCAGAAGAATTTGTGGACAATTAAAATTAATTAATGAATATGAATTTTATATATTAATAAAAAAATTAAAAACCTTTAGAAATTTTGACTTCAATAGCTTATAAAAAAGTTTAATTAATATTATATTGTATTATGTGAGAATTCTTGAAATTTTAATTTTTCTAGTAATATTTATCAATAACATAAGATATTAATGTTGAATTATTTATTATTAATAATCATCGAAATTTAACTTATATCATATAATAATTTTATTTTAATTTAGATGTATATTATTTCATAAATATTAACAGATTCCATTATTTAATAAACAATTAATAAATCTCAAGCAGGCAGAAATTGAAGCATAAAATAGAAACTTATATATGTAATGGAGTTTCTACTTGATTTTAGTTTTATAATTTAGAATTTTTGCATATATACATAATCAATTTTTTAAAATTAATAATTCATTAATTCATACTTTAAAATATTAGAAAATTTTATTAAATTCATAATATTTTATTCTTGAGATCTTTATAATAATTTTTTTTTTTAGAAATTTGAATTCTATATTTATTGATTTGATTTTAGAATATAATTTTCATTTTAGTGTATGCAATCTATTTCCAATATTAATATTTTTCATTCAGATCATATTTTGGTACAAATGGAAGTAAATATAATTTTGGACGTGTACCCATAGGAGGAAGTGACTTTTCTGTAAGAGCATATACATACGATAATATTTCTAATGATATAGACTTACAGCATTTCACACTTGCTCCGGAGGATCTTTTATATAAAATCCCAGTTATGAGCAAAGCTTTGGAATTAAATCCATCTTTACGCTTTGTTTCCGCTGCATGGACGGCACCTCCATGGATGAAGAATCGACATCAATATTATGGATATAGTAATTATTAAAATAATCTTATTTTGTCTATTTTGAAGTCAGAAAAAATATAAGAAAATAATTCGTTTATATTTTGTATCAAACGAATTTTAAATGTGCTTACGATATTTGATTTGTAGGATATTATATATTATAATATCTTAGGATACTCTTAGAATTATTTTTTATGAATAATGTTTTTATTAATAATTTTTATATAAACAAAAATAAAAAATATAAATTGAAAGAATAAATATTATTTTATTGAAATGAAAAATAATGTCAAATAAAAAAACATTATGAGTGAATTTTGAGTGAAAATAAAAGCAATTTATTCAAATTAATTTAAACATTGTAGATTTTACTTCTTTTTTAATATTTCATTATAATATATTATAAGTTCGAGTTTTATTATTTATTTTAGTAAAGGTATTTTTAAACTGTTAATAATTAATTTATATAACAAACAATAAAACAAGCTTACTTAAACTATGTTAAAATTTTTAATTTATTAATTTTTGTAATTAATATTTTTTAATTGATAAGTAATGTATTAAAAATAATCAATTAATCTTATATAATAGAACATAGTTACTAATGGTATATTTTAATTTATTTAGGCTATTTACTGGAAAAATATTATCAGACATTTGCAAATTATATTATTAGATTTTTAGAGCTTTATAAACAAAAAGGCCTTGATATTTGGGCAGTTTCAACTGGAAACGAACCTTTTACTTCATTAGTACCGACTGCTAAAGTTAGTTCAATGTTTTGGTCCGCACGCACTGTATCAAAATGGGTTGTTAAAAATTTGGGCCCTACATTACAAAAGTCTAGGAGTAATAGCACGTATATTTTGATGTTAGATGATCAAAGAATTCATCTACCCTGGTATTTGCTTGATGTAAAATTTTTTCATAAAGAAGCTTTAAACTATATAAAAGGAATCGCTGTTCACTGGTACACCGATAGCTTTAGTTTACCTAGTATACTTGATGTAACTCATCGTATTGCTCCAGATAAATTTATTTTAATGACTGAAGCTTGTGTAGGTATGTAGTTATGATTATTTGAGATATTAATTTTAGTGAAATCTAGTTAGGTAGAATTAATATCGAAATAAAAAAAACAAGTATTAAGTGCTTCTTTTCATTATTGAGCATTATGACATTATGACATTAAAAAATTTAAGAAATAATATTTTATAAAAACATTAAACATTGTAATAAAACTATACTTTTTACATCTTATACGATTTTATATTCAGAATAATGATTATTGGCAAATGTTGATTTTAATTATTAGTATATTTTTTGTTTTTGTAATATCGAGATTAATTATAATTCTATAATAATTAGGTGATCGGCCATGGGAACGTCCAAAGGTCAGTTTGGGATCATGGTCACGAGCTGAGCGATTAATACAAAAAATATTTGAAGTTTGTAACTTGAATATAAATAATATTATTTACAATAGTTCCTATTAGTAATACATATTGATAAAAAATTTTAAAAAGGCTTAAACGAACTTTTAAACAGAAGTGTAATTAATATTCGATACCATTTTTATTTAAATTATTTCAGAATATTAATCATTGGGTTGTTGGTTGGATCGATTGGAATATAGCTTTGGATGTTAATGGAGGACCAAATTGGGTAGAAAACTATGTTGATGCATCAATAATTGTTGTACCAGAAAAAGATATATTTTATAAGCAACCTTTGTATTATGTTATGACACATTTTAGCAAATTCGTACCACGTTCTTCTATTAAAATAGAAGCTAAGACAACAGACAGTAATATTTTAGTAACTGCTTTTAAATCGCCAGATAATCAAACAGTAGTTCTCTTATACAACAAGTAAGTTTATATTTATTCAAAGAAGTAAAATCATTAATATTGTTATATCATTTATCATTTAGCTATATCATTTATTTTTCAGAAGTAATAAACAGAGAAGCGTTTCAGTAGTTGATAAGAATGTCGGCAGTATAAATGTAGTATTACTAGAATATTCATTACATACAATATTATACAAAACTGTATAAACATTAAACTTTTTATACATTTATCTTAAATAAATAGTTTTAAATTTAGTAAATAAACATAGTTTGATTATTATTTATAATATTATTATATGTATAATTATGTATGATTATGTATAAATCAAAGATGTGGATTATAATGAAATATTTTAGATTTCATTGTGATCATTAATTATTATATATTATATTTATATAATTTATATAATAATAAGTATAAAATTCATTAAAAAAAAAAAGATTTAAAATATATTTATGATACAATTGATGATATAGGATAATAATACATTATCTTTCATAATATGTTAATTTAATCGGTTGAAAGTGATTTTTATAAATCAATTTGTAGTTCCAAAATGTTCGCTACCTGAAACATCAAGTAAGTTAAAATATTTTTTAAAGTTATGAATTAGACATTTTTGTAGTAAGGATGTAAATAAAACAAATGAATCAATCTTCAAAATAATTTATTAAAAACGTTGCATATTTCACATTCGAATCGATAATTAGCAATATACGTCTGTTCATATAATTGTCAATATTGTTATATAGTAACAATGCGTATTGTAAGCATCTATGGCAATAGATTATGGAATACATATATATTTGGCAGTCCATTTTCAAATTTTCGTACAACGAAAATTTATTTTAATATCATTTTTATTTTAAAACAGTGTTCTAGTAATATTTTAATAATATTTGTATTTATAGACCATAATAATCTTTTCACCTTATAAAAGTGAATTCAATACAGAAGACTTGGATTTTTTATACAAGATGATTATAAAATTTAATTATATAGTATTTCATTGCGTTGTTACGAAAAAGATTAGCTCAAATAAAAATTTGCATGTTTACTTCTAATGTTATTAAGAATATTTTATTAATAGTTAAAAAACTAGTATTAATTTTAATATTTTTATGCAATTTAAAATATTTAATTTGTATAAATTATATACTTTTAAAAATTATATCATTATTTTAATAATATTTGAGTAATTTTACTACAATTAAATTAAATGAAAGAATGTTTCATTAATGGTATTCAATGATCTAAAAAAATATTTTAATTTAATCTTTAACATTGATAGTTCCATGTTTTAGGTGATTATTTTAATTTTTATATAAACTTTAATTTTTTTATTTTCAATTTTATTAATAAATTATTTGTAATTAGTAGCAAAATCAAAATGCAATTACTTGAAAATTATTTATGTCAACATATGTCTTGTACTTTTGTCTCTTAATATATGTATTCAATTAAATTTGTATGTGCTTTCTTCTATTATATGTATATCAATGTTTTCATATATTCTGATCAACATACAGCGATGCTTTTATTTTCTCAATTGAGACCTGTTCGATCAATTAACTACGTATACATATTTTATTTTTGTAGATATAGTGAACGCTATATTTTACATTATAATCATAAATACGTACGTATATAAACATATACTTATATGAGTATTTTGTTGTTTGTGCGCGCGAATGTGTATGTAGATTATTGTCAGTAATCTCCTGACGATCTTAATACGATCCCTTGTATTTATATTTAATGGAGTCAATTTATATAAGCACGTATTTTTTTTATCAACCATTTTTTCTAATCATAGTTTATATCAAAATGGGATTGGTTTATTTGTTTTTGAAAGTCCTTAGTTTATAATAATAAACTAATTCTAAATGATTTAAAGTGAACTGATATATAAGTACGATAAACCTAATTAATTCATAATAATAATTTTATTCAATTTGGATAAAAAACCTGTATTACATTATGTGCATTTCTTTTAATTTTAAAATTGTATAAACCTTTCATTAAATAAATTATTCGAAACATTATTTAAATAATTAAGTACAATCAATTATACACGTTCTATGTTTCGTTTTCATGAATAATTATAATTATTATGTATTAGCATTAGAAAGGATTCATTGAGTTTTTAATTTAAAGCATTTGAGTTTTTTCAATAGTAATTTATCCTATAGAACTTTATTGTTCTATAAATGTGATTTATATTATTCCTTGATTTACTTAGTGAAATTCTTTTTTTATAGATAATCATTTTTAAAATATTTAAAATTTATAGAAAATAGTTATAATGATCTAAAATTTTATATAATTAAATAATAATTTTAATATATATATATATATATACATATATGTATGTATATAATTCAGCTTTTCGATTTTAATTTTTACTTTACTTTAAATCCACTTTAAATATATTTTTGCTTTATTAAGTCTGTCAGTCAGCGAGTTTCATACTCTTCTTAGCAAAAGATATAGATGATATAAATTGACTTAGATTTACGTATTCTACAATATTATTAGCAGTAAAAACAGATCAATAAAATTTTGTATTAAAGTATATATAAAATCAATATTATTATACAGCATTGATAAGAATTATTTTATAATTAAATGAAATATAAATTAATTTTATCTTATAAATAAATTTTTGTCATAATTCCAAAATTTAATTTTTCTTTTCTAGTATTGTATATTTTTCCATTTTGTTAAAGCTATTTCTTAATGTTACATAGTTTAATTTATTTGTTAAATGTATTATTATTATGAATATCAAATTAATGAAATTTATATATTTTATTGAATATGAAAAACACGTTAAATTATAAATCTATAGTATATAAATTTTAAATTTCAAATATCATGTGATCAAAAGTCGTTTTATAATTCATTATTCATTTACAACATTTCTAAGGTTATATCTTATTTTCGATTGGATTAAAATAAATTTCGAAATTTTTTAACCAATTTTTACGATTTTTATTTTTAGACTGATATAAGTTAAAAATGTATATCATTTTTATGTAATTCGAAACATATACTTGCGACGATATCTTTTGATTATCTATGGCATGTATAATAATAAGTTAATTAAATTTTGATAAGAAAATAATCTGGAAATTACAAAAAAGAACTAAAAAGCCATATAATATAAACAATCGTATATGTGCACAAATTTATATTTCATTTATACAAGGAAAAGTTGTTAAATTTACAAATTACTAATTTGCTAATTTGTTTAATATTAAAATTGTTTTTAATACACAATATAGCAGCCCCTGATGAAAATATAATAATTGATCTTAGCATGCTTTATTTTATTGATTTGCTTATGCAACTGACTTGTTAGTATGGCAATTTAATATTGAAAATTCAATAATACAAATTTCATTTAAAAAATTGCAATTATTATATTTTTTACACGTTTTAAATTAATTTATATAATAAATAAAAGAATTGAAATATATTTAAAATTAGTATTTTTGTAAATACAATAATGATTTATAATAATGTACATTTTTAAAGTTATGATATGATAGAAACGTAGTAATTAAAAATGATCACAATTTTCTTATTATATATATTTTTTAAATTGTTTAACAAATTAAAATTTTTAAATAATTATTAAAAAATTTTCACTTCAATGTTCTATTTAATTTCAATTTCTATTTTACATTTGAAATAATTGATTAATATGTATGAGTCTGAAATATTTTAATTCGGTGAATTTCCAATTGTAAAAAATAATTTAGATTCTAGTGTTATGACTGACACTCAATTAAGAATACACAAGTTAAATTTGTTGCGTAATACATGTTCAAAATTCGGTATTTAGGAAAAAAGACACTACGTACACGAAATTAAAGTGAGCGAAATGTGAATATATTCACCGAAACAGAGGAGGGTATAATTAGATGTAAAGAATACCTATCAACAAATTATAAAACAACAATAAGAAAATTATAGAGTTAACTATAGTAATTCATCTTTTTGTAGAAGAAAAGACAATTCACTAGTTGATTACAGTTTTATATTCAATTGACCAAATTTTAATTGTAATTATGAAATTTTCTGAAGAATACAGATTTATGAAAAGTGTCAAACACAAATCAGACAAGTAGTATAACTTAGAATTAAATAATCAGTTTATCGGTTAAAATATGTATAGTTTAACGATATAACTCCCTGGGAATTACTTGCTCACGTAAATTGGTACAATGTGTATGTATAATAAATTGATACAATAAACAAATAATAAGACGAATCCACTTTATAAAAAATAAAAATAAAAATATACGACGAAAGCAAGTCAAAAGAAAAAAAAATTATAAATGTATAGATACTGTTAAAGACTGGAAAATAAGTTTACAATATTGGCAAATATAATTCCACTACAAAATACATATATACAATCATTCAGTTATAATATAAAGAAGTAGTGATAAAAAGTAGAGAAAGAAATTATAATCTTAGGTAAATATACTAAAAATTCACAGTTAATTAAAAACAAGCAACATCTTGAATTGAAACCGAAAATACCTGAAAATGGTTCTTTGATTGGAAGAAATTATAATTCTGTACAAAATAATTGAAAAAAAATTGCTTCACAAAACATGCAGAATATTGGAAAAGTGTTATAAGTATCGAAAAATTTAAGTAATAAATAAATTATAAATAATGAAGACAAATATAGTATATATGAAACTCTTCAAAAAAATATAGACTTGGAAACTACATGGTATATATACAAATATATTCTTACTTGACGATAAAATAATGTTCAAAATTAAAAGAAAATAGAAAATAACTTTAAATTGTAATCTGGATTATTTGTATTAGAAAATTTATTGCAAGAGAAGTAATATTACAGGATTTGAAGTTACTACAATAAGAGACAGGTGAAATTATATAAAATGATATTTTCAGTTATAAAAAAGCAAAGCGCTAACAGTATATATTCAAAAAATTAAAAGAAATATTATATTTAACTTTAAATAAGTAAAATGCGCCAGTGACAATATATCAAAAGTATTAGTGAGTTAACCTAATAGATACACACTTACGAAATCATGCGTGAAGATATACGAACACAATAATCCAGACAAACAAAATAACAAAAAATTTTTTAACAATAATAAACATAAAGGGAAAAGTAATAACAGTAGTCGATATAATGAGTATTGACTAAGTATAGGAAACGATGTGTATTGGTAAAATATTGGAAAGTAGATACTACATAAGAAATACAAAGTTGGTGAAAGTAATTGACTCAAGAAAATTGTATATAATAATGATGAGTGTTAATTGTAGAATAATGAAAATTCGACAAAATAAAGGTCATTAATAATAGAAACTAAAAATAAGGTTAATAAAAACAGCAACAACATTAATACTAATTATGGACTAATTAAACACTCGTGCTATAACTTGTATACCGTGTGTTATATCGTGTGATAACGATATAAATTAAATTCGAATAAATACAAATTGAATTGATTCTAACGCCTTTAATCTAATGATATATCTCTTGAAATAAATAAGTCGTTTATACAATTAATAGATATATATTAAGTGTGTTCCAATTTCAATATTTTTCTTGCATCACATTTTGATAGAACATAGAAGTTCATATGCTTAGGTACTTAATTTTAATATTTCGATTAAAACTTTTTGGTCCCAAAAATTAAATCAGGCTTCAAAAGGCCAGTTAAGTGTATAATTAAATAATTCGTTATATAAATTTGAAGAATAAATTACTTTTTTACAAAATTCTTTAATAATATTTGAGTTCTTGTAAAATAATTTTATTTTTATGTTATTAATTATACATTATTAACGAGTATTATTCTCTTTCTTAATAATTTTAATTATTTGTTCTACGTCTTTTCTGATTGAATAGAATTTTTTTTCATATATTTTCTATATATATATATATATATATATATATATATGTATATATATCTCATTTTTACTATTTATGTTATTTGTGTAAACTTCAAGCTTCATAAATAATCTACTTTCGAAACAGAGAAGTGAAAACATTTATTAATAATATGGAATGGGATTTAATATTTAAAAAAAAATGAAAGTGTAATTACTGTAATGATTTAAGAAAGATAATTATATATAATTTTAATAAATGTATAAAATATTTAGTATTAAAGAAAATTTGATCGATTTTAAATTTATAAACTCTTTACTTAAGTATGGTCTATTAAGAAATAAAAGAAATAATTATTCATATAATTCCATAACGATTTTGTAAATATTATTAAATTTATTGAAATGAAGAAATATATTTGAAGTTCATATTACGTCTAAATAATATGTATGATTATTAAAAAAAAATTAGTTATAAACATTATCATTATTAATATTTCGATAATATAATTATAGTAGGAAACGATTACACAGTCTTTAATAATTAAGTAATTCTAATAGTTTTTTTTAATATTGGTAAATATATATTATTGAGTATATATTAAGACTATTTTTGGTTAGCTGTTCTTACCTGTTTTATTTATTAAATACATTTTTTAATTCACTGACACTTTGACAGATTATAAAGAGCACTTCTAAATACTCAGTTTTAATCTATAATTTATACACATTTTTCAAAATATTATATAAATATATGTAAATTTATACGTAATAATAATTATTAGGATTTTTATAATAATAATTACAAGATTTAGAATAATAATAATGATGATAACTGTAATAATAATCCTAATAATAATTCAACTTAATTAATATTTTTATATTGCTTTTGCCTATAGTTATAATCTTTACAGGTTAGATCATATTTGCTAATTAATTTTAATGGTGATATCAAGTTTAGTTTTATATAAAGTTTTTAATACAACGAGGGTTTACAGAATTATTGCTTTTTTTATTATACTAAATTGTAATTTTGTATAGTTTAGGTAAATGTGAGTGCTCTTATTATCTATTAGCAGGAATATTATAAAAATCATTTGCATTTCGTTTTGCATTATGTTTTATATTTTTAAATTATTGAACTTGAGTTATAATTTTTCATTTCAGAAACTATTCATTGTACTACACGCTTATAGAATAATAGTTTTTAAGCGATCTTATTTTTAAAGTTTCATATCTTATGCTAAAATTCGAGATAAAATCTTTTGTTCATAATTTTAATTATATCATTTATATCACTTTGAAATTTATGTTACTTAAACAGAAACATTAAATATTTTGTACTATTATAATCGGTAAAGAATAATAAATTTGGATATAAAAGTGTGATGTTAGCATGTTTACTGCTTTTATTGATTAAGAATTAAACGAAAAATGCCTTTAATTTAAAAACAATGCAGCATCGGAATTGATGAAATATACTATTTTTATTATTGTATGAAAATTGAATGGAAATTCTCTTTATTTTGAAAAATACTCAAAGTATGTAAAGTGTCACTATAACTTCGATAATGTAAAATAAAATAAAAATATAATTTAATACAACACATTTAATTATTTACAATATTAACAATACTCTCAAACTTGTATTCGAATCGTCGATAGTGTTATTTATCTTAGCTTTATTGAATGATTGAAAGATTGCAATAAATATATATGGTGTTTGGCATTTTTAATAAATATTTTGAATAATAATTATCTATAAAAATAAATTAATAAACAGCAATAAATTTTGTGTGTCAAATTTACATTCAATAATAGTCTATAGTATAACAAAATCGACGGATGCATCAGTAGACTAACAATTTTAGAGCACAGCTCTGTAAGAAAAACACTTGCATTATTTCAATAGCTTAATATTCATTAATTGTCAATTATTACTCGATCATTTATCACATTCATTCTGATTATCTATATTAATTGTATTTATTAATTATATTATTGGCCTACATATGTAGAGGAATGTTTTTTATTGTTCGCAATGTATTTGTGTAGATAAAAATGATCATGTGTTCGTATACAGTAATTTAAATAGAGTTTTTTTTAACTTAGTGTTCAATATCTGATACAAATAATTTTAAATATATATATTATATTTATATTAATGCATATAAATATAAATTTCGCACATAAATAAATGTATAAATAAATTAATAAATAAATAAACATGAACATATATATATATATATATATATATATTATTTGTATTTTCTTTTGTGTGTTAATGCGCGTGTGCGTGCGCGCTCACGTAGTTATGTTTACGCGAGCATGTGTAAAATTATAAAATTTCCGTTGTTTTGCTTGAAGGAGCATGTTTAACATTTGTAAATGATTCTGACGTTCAATAATGATAAATTAGTCAAATATGAATAACAAGATGAATCTTTTCTTAAAATTTTATGTACTTTATTGCGTTATTTTTAATTAAATGAGTTCTGTGCGTTTAGGTAATCATTGAGACATGTTGAATTAGTTGATAGCAAGATTGCCATAATTAGTGAGGCTTCAAAAATTTTATCCACATTCTGTAGATTACATCCTGAAATAATATTTTTTTATTTAAGAGGTATAATTCAAATGGTCAACTGTTGTAAAATATAATAACAATTTAAATTAAGATTATCAGAATAATATTTTCAGATCGTCAGGTAAATTATTTATTACTATAAACAGATAATTTAATTTATTAAATTAAAATAAATTGTGAGTCAAATCAATTTTATATAAAGTCATTGCAAACTGTCAATGTCCAAAATTTATTGTGCATCTTCATTTTATATGTACATATGAATAATTAAATAACTTACCATTCTGAATAGTATAATGTTATGAATTTGTAATTAGCAAATGTTATCTTTTATTGCCACTATCCGTTAAAACTACGAATTAGTTAAAAATAAATATTTTACGTTTTTTCTGTCAGGGTTATAATTTTTATTTATAATTTTTCAGCAATCGAGTACAATTCGATTATTTTGTTCTAATAACTTATTAAATAATGTATCTTATATTCAAATAAAATAATTTTACTCTATCATTTTAACAATCTTCTGTCAAACAGCTTACCTTTACGAGGAAGTAAATCGATGACGCCTGCATCTCGTTCAGGGTGCCCTTGACGTACAATTTGTCTCTTGTTGATTGATTTTTGTAATCGTTGTCAATTGTCACACGGTCGTGACTCGATCGATTTCAACGTAACGCACAGAACTCTCGCTATGTCAGCAAATAACCTCCTTGCCATCGATTATGGCCGTCTCTGAAGAAATGCTTTTCAGTCGATGCTGAGATATGGAGCGTCCATTGGAACCGTATCGACAAGCACGCCACGAAGCGATACAAAGCAGACCACTAATAGAAACGAAGGCGATTGCCCCAATCCCAAGATGTAGCGGTGGCATACGCAGTAGGATCGAGCAGTGCCCAAGAGCTTCGTCATATCCTGTTGGACAATGGCTCACGCCATCGCACCATAATGATCCATTGATACATGCATCTAGCTCCGGGCAGCGATGTTCGCAATCGTGGCCTAATCGGAACCCCACTAGTGCCGAATTCAGCAGCGGCCTATATTAAATCTACATTTAGATGCAATTCGCTTTTATTTTTATAGATCGATATGAGGACATTTTGAATTTAAACGAATTTAAGACGCTAGATAAATAAATTGTAATGCGGCATCTGCAATCTGTTTAATTAAACTTTAATAACAAATTATTGAAATAATTAAAGTGTTTCGTATTTGTAATAATCATATAGATTTACATTTGATTATATTTAGATTTCTTATAAGAGCAAAGAATGCAGAAAAACCTATTCAAAAATATTCAATGATGACAATTTAATAAGAAAATTAATTAGTTTGATATTTATTACTTTTCTTTTTATAGGCTTTTAGTAATTTCTTATTTGTATAATGATAACCATATTTATTAATAAAAATTATATATATATATATATATATATATATATATATATATATATATATATATATATATATATATATATATATATATATATATATATATATATATATATATATATATATATATATATATATATATATCGATTTTTTCAAATATTATTAATATGCAGCAAATAATAATTCAGTTACGATATTCTATTGTTTAGAAGAAATTTTCAAAATCTTGTCATTTCATTGATTTCAAGTAGAATTTAATTGGGAATTGTAATATATTTGAGACACTTTTTCTTTGAAATATTTTTTAATTTATTGTAGAATGTCTAAGAAATTAAAATTGAAAAAGGTAGAATGTGCGAATGGACATGAATGTAAAAAATATTTCATTTAACAAACGTTACAATGACATGTAATAATAATATATATAATAAAAGTTGTCAAGTCTCCAAGGTTGATGAAAATTTTAAACAATTTTTTAACGCTAATAATATTGTTCGGGATTGGAGTATTTTCCAAGAACTTTAAAATGGTTATAAGAATTATAAGCTTTCTAACCCTTGTGTTTGTAAACATTTATTCTGCGAATCCTCGTATATTCTACCCTTTAATTTGAGTGTCCTACAATATTTCCGCATAGCAACGTCGATTGTAAATTCTCGAACCTGCTAAAGTTTTGTCATTCCTGGAATCCTCGAAATTTCAAGAGCTTTAGCCTCTGACAATAACAGACGTTCGGTCTAGCAACACACCTATGCATTGTTACCAGCTGAGTAAGCTGGCACGCGGATATTTAAGAGCAGCACACTACGCTTAATAGCTCAATGTAAATTTCTCGGTCAATTAGTGATCAGTTATTACGCTATTATACAGCCAGGATTTTCGGCGATATATTCAGTCAGACTCTGCAGCGATAAGCTAGGTACGCCAATACAGTGAAGCTATTATATTTAATACCTATTCAAGTGCGCAATAGTTCAAAGCCGTCAACAATGCTGATTGCATTACAAGAAGCGCAATATCTAGACACTCATCACAGGATTTGGCAAGACAACTGAATCGCTGTGAGTAAAAAACACTTAGTCACGAAGGGCACCTCTAATTGTACGAAAGGCATCTTGCCATTGAAGAAGTACCAGAGATTTACGACTTCTCACTTTTCAGTATAGTAGTCCACCACCAAGCTCACTACAACAAGAGGATCCGGAGATTTACGACCTCCTACCTCGGCACGTAGTGCATGCTAACACAACGTGGCAACTACCATCGAACTGCAAGATCTCACGGTTTCTCAACACCATCTTAAAATCATTATTAATAGTTATAAATAGTTTGTAAAATAAAAGGCAATAAGCAGCACTATAAGCAAATTTATATAATTATTGAATAAATGCGCTAACCTCACCACTTGCCCGCAATCCTCCCACCGACCATCTGGGAGCTTAGTCTAATTCTACTTATAATAACGATATTTATATTATTTTAAAAAGAGAAGAATTCAAATATTAAAAAAAAAAAAAAGTGTATTAAAGTGTATAAAAGAGGATTAATAGTGTGATTTTATTTGAAATTGTATTATTATACAGCTGCGCTAATTGTAAAAAAAATTATGCAGCATCATTTCGTATGACATTGGAAAATCCTTAAAAAGATATTATTTTTATAAAAATGGAAAGGAAATTTAAAAATTATTTGTGATTTCTTTCAATTAAAAAATGAAAATTATAATAAAAAAATTCAAATTATTTGAACTAAAATTGGTCGATAAATAAAGTGCAGTGTTAACTAACTAGCAAATTATCGTTAAAAACTCATAATTTTGTTATAGTCTTAGTGTTACGACATTTTTTGATAGTCCTTTTTTATATTAATATAGGAAACTACTTTCTTATCTATGAGTCAACTACATCATCCAGAATCAAAATTAACAGCGGTGAAGAACTGAAAAAAGCATTTTGCAATATTTGATTTAAACATCTATTATAATCATAATTGTTTATTAAGTTCTTAACAAACATTAAATCTATTATTCTAAAACTTTGTCGTAAAGTTTTTTTTGTATCTGCTAAATTATCAATACAATTATTGCATTGATGGGCTTCAAGAAAACGGACATAGGAACTGAAAAGCAACTATTTTCTGACGATATCGTGCAAATTTGCTTAGAGATATCTACCGAGCTATTATCAATAATCGTTCTATGAAGAGGCGACGACGATAACGACGGTTAGATTTAGATCGTCTTAAAGTTATTTACATACTCGTAAGGACAATACATTTCAAGTAAAATATGTTTAACCCAATATATTATACTATTAAGCATAAAATTTGCATAATTATAATAAATTAACGTTTTTTGTTATATTAAATACGAATGTGTATTTTTAACTCATTGTATATTTGTGTCAACACAATATGATATATATAATACTTGAATAAGATGAGATTAAATTCGTGTTCAAATACATTATAAATTATCAGATCATAGTATTATTGTAAAATAACATAATAGCCGATGGATGTTCTAATAAGTAATTATTACAATTATAATTTATGTAAATTTTATTATAATAAGAGTGAATGGTTGACCTACATTTATAAATCTAATTATAAATATGATATTTTTTAATTACAACCATTATCATACACAGGATAAATTTAAATGTGATTTAAATCAATGCATTAATACATACCTCCTTGTGAGTTCTAGCCATGTGATACTGTATTCATCGCCATCTGTGATATCCTCGTTGATAATGTACTCGATGGCGATGCTTCTTACGGCATCTCGAGGTGCTGCGACGATCATCGCATTATCGCTGACGGTCCAGCCGTCACTAAAGACCTCGACAACGCTCTGATGCCACCCAGATGAATACCGCGGGCATACTGCCGCGTGTAATTTCCCTGCTATATGCACAACAATGCGATTCTTGGTATCGCATTTGGTGCGGTTCGTCGCTATTGTACCTGGCAGTTTTACGTACAGGTACTGGTTCAGCCCTGGCTCGATCAGCCATGGATGGTTTTTGCAGTATTGCTAATAGATGGTTATTTTTAATATATAAAATTTAAATAAAACTTACATGAACTCATAAACATCAACGTCGATTCAATTTTGAGATTCAATTAAATGTAATAAAACGATTAAAGATATTAAGTAATATAAATTTATTTGGTAACATCTATTTATTTTTTAAATAAATAGACGAAAAAGAAATAGACGAAAAAAATTGCCTAATAAATAAAAATATAAGAAAATATATGATTTCAACATTTTGAATATGATATACACGTTTATATAACTAAATGCAATCCAAACATTACTATAATTATTATTTTAACTTTATAATATTAATTATATATTATGAAAATTCATATATACAATAAATTAGGGATTAATTAATTAAGTTTATAATATAAACAGTATCAAATGTCGCAACTATTGAATTAGTTTATTAATAGATTCGCTTATTTTCTTTATATTACTTTTCATTTCTTATTTAATTTGTAATTTATTAAATTATAAATTTATAATACTGTCGAAATTAGATGAAAATTTTTATTTGGTTTTCGAAGGTAAATAAAACTAGGCACTATTAATGAACATCATCTTATATTAAAATTTATCATACTTATAAATATTTTCTACATATTCTTGTAACATCGATTCATTTTTAAAATATAAAATTATAAATTTTGTTTTAATTTTTATTTTTAATAGAGGGTTTCATTTTTTACTAAACAATTTTAATCAAATATACTTTAAAATTTCTTAAAATATAATCGAGTAAAAATAATACAAAATAAATAAATGTTAATATATATTCATATATTACTAGTATAATTTACCTCATTATCATCATCTATAGAAGCATAATTTTTTATTTCTCCAGAAGGTCCGTGAACCCGTCTTTTTTGCATGCACTGCGCAGTTTTAAAAAATTCCCACGTACCCTCGAAATACAAGTTTTTATAGTCGTCAAATGAGTTCATAGAATGTACTTTGAAATGTACCTCAACGGTGCTTGACTTTGATTTAAAATTGATTGGCAAAGAACGATTTGAACAAAAACAGTCTCGTTGTATCGGTGGTGCATTTCCCCATGGTAGGTCCATTACCTATGCAGTAATTAAAATGGTTATTTTATGAAGAAACTTAATTATTTTTAATTTATGTATATATCTAATATAATTTATAAATCTAATATAATTTATTTTTATTTATTGTTTAAATAATGAAATTTGAAAATATTGTTTCTACAAATTCTAACTGTTTATTATACATGCCTCTTTCATGCTTATAAAAGCTTGATATCATGATGTTGGGCAGTAAATTACATTATAAATCAAGCAGATTTATGACTTTACCTTCAAAGAGAATCCAGTTGATCCAACGCAGAGAAAACGATTGTAATCCGAACTAGAAACACTTTTACAAGATCGATTGCCATTGAAAATTTTATTGAATCGCAATTTAACTATTTCATCCTGCTCACCCTCGAAACGGTACACACAGCTATATTATAAATTAATTAATTAAAAGTTAATTTTATCTGATAAATTTTTTATTTATATCGGCTGCAAAAGCCAAACTTATTTTACTCAATTACAACTATTAGTATTTTCTAATATATATGTATCGATTATTAGTAAAAGGAAATGAAATAAAAATACGGGTTAAAAATCAAATAGTTAACAATTAGAATGATAAACTACTAGAAATTATGCACTCTTGCGTATTGGAATACAAATTATATTACGCAATTATTCTAAAATTACAATGCAAATCCAGAAATGAAATAATAATAATATGACATATCAAAATACCTATATTTTATTAGAAACATTATTTTAAAAAATTACTTTAAAATTTACTCTTCATAAATTATAGTATAAAAATTTGTCTATTAATCTTATTAATTTATAAACAATTAGATTGCTTATGAAATATTTCTTTTTTCTATTATTATGTTTTTCGTTCGTTACACATTTTATTAGAAAAGATGAATTAAAATCTAAAGAGTGTGATCTGGAGTTTATATTATTGAGATATGATGAACTTTTTTTCTAACGAATTACAGAACTGTAAATAAAGCATGAGTTTATATTTTAGTTATATGATTTCTTCATATTTACAAAAGAAAAATGTATAAGATTTTCCAAAACTCATCGTAATAAAGTAATCGATAATTTATGAATTTCAAATAAATACATCCTTTATTTCAATAAACACATTCCACATTATGAGTGTATATTCATACATTTTATGTACTCAACTTTATTGAATTTATATTATTTCTTTATTTGATTCTTAAAATTTATTTACTTATTAATCACATTACAAAGACTTGTAATATAAATTATATATTTAAAGTATGTGTAAAAATATATTTATTCGTACTTACTATTGTTTATCGTATTAATTTTCTGAAAATATTTTACAATTTATAGTAACACAAACTATTCGGTTTTTTTAATTCTAATATTCATATTTAAGTCTATATATGAAAATATGTAGGTAAAGATATTGGAAAATAATCACTTTGAAAGAAAATTGTTCTTTGAAAGAAAATTAACAAGTTAATTGAATATACTATTGCATATTGAAAATTAAAACTTTTTTATTTAGTAAGTAATTTTTTCAAATAATATTTTATTCTTTTAGTATATTTTTACACTTTATAAAATTTCTATAAATATTCGCGCAGTCTTTAACCATTTACTCAATTAATAAGAAATATTTTGTATTTGGTTAACATTGTAAATTCGAAAATAAATGTAAAATATATCTTAATCCAAAAGAATAATAAATATAAGGAATTAGTAATTCGTAATTTAAGGCACATTGTATAATTTTTCAATTATATTTTACCATTACTTATAAATTTAGAAGACAGCTGAATAATCATTGCAAAGAAAAAGCATTTTTTATTTTCAATTAATAAAACTGTTTATTTATGACTTATTAATTGACAAATGTCAAATTAAACCAATAATATAATATATTTTCTATGATTAATATTTCTATTTAAAGAATACTATCATAAAATATTTTTTATTTATCATTTATTGCAAAATCTAATTAAACTAGTTCTATATTATGCTAAGTAATCGAGCATATTTACATAATAATTTATAAACGTTTTTTAAATAGAGTTTACATGAATAGAAAGTGTTTATTTTTCCTTGTTTTCGCACTCTATTAATAACTGTAAAATAATGAATTCCACGATATTATCATGAGGAACGCCAATTAAATGTTAATTGAATATTCTAATAAAATGTATCATTAAAAGTATATTATTAGAATAAGTCTATTCGATAAATTTAATAGTTTTATGAAATATTTAGAATTTATATAAGATTTATGAAATATTCAATTTATATGTAAATTTAAGAAGTAATTACATTACAATACAACTATTACATGCAAGCTAACTAATATTCAAATATAAGAAAAGGTAGTAAAACCTGTTTTATTTTTTGTTTAAATTAAGTATATTTTATCACATTTCCAATATTCGATTTTGAATTTTAATGTTAATATTGCCCTTCTTTGGAGATGATGTAATAAAAATAACTTAATTTTATTATTTTCTATAAAAATTAATTTATATATATATATATATATTGTTAATTGAAAAACCGAGAATTATTATTATATAATATATTTGATACAGATCCACAATCTTCTTCCTTTTTGCTAAATACACAGAATATATTTTTGTACGGTATATTGAAAAAGTAATCAAGAAAGAATTTTAAAATAGAAATTAATTAATGTTTAAGTTCTTGAAGATGCTTTTTAGAAGAAACTAGGATTGTGATATTTTGGGAATGTGATATCGTAATGTTGATGCATTAAGTAGGTCACTAATAATTTCTCATTCACTTTTTGTATATTAATGTCTTAAACTTATCTACATATTGCTCAACTTATAATAATATTATACAACAAAATATAAAGAAGTATATTAATATAAAATCCGCTATCGTATACATATCTTCCAAAAATATTAATGTATTCACCTTTATTTTTATAAATCTGTATATGCATTATAGTGTGACATTAATACTTAAATAAATTTGAAATTAAGTTCATAAACATAATTTAATGATATTTATAAATTTACACATGTCGAAACTTACGTTAAATTTTCTGCACCACCGCGACCGTAAAGAAAAATATCTCTAGGTGCACGGAAATTGCGATCTGGGTAAGTGTCGCGATTCCGGCTATAAAACACTCGTGAGCAAGGGGAATTACCATATTGATCACCATCTTGGTATAGATCAACAAACTCATAGAGAGCACGAAAATCCAAAGGTCTGCGAAAAAAGATGGAATTTATTACATATATTGTATAATCATTAGATTAATTCACTACATGTAAATATTAATAATTAATTTAATTTTTTTTAATTATTATTTAATTGTATATTTTTATTATTTTTAATTGATTTATTACTTTCAAAGCATATAGTACTCGAATAAATGTATATTATTATTTAAAAGAGGTAACGCAATTTCCAATTTCTAATTGAGTAATTTATTTTATTTATTTCAACACTTATTGAAAAATATTGTAGTGAGAATTCCTATTTTTCAATGAACTAGAAGTAGATATTCCACTTGCAGTTTATTTAAAAAGTAAACATTAAAATTTTGAATAAAAATAAAAAATATATATGTCTGTGTGCATACCTGTTGGATATGTACAACTTAATTTCTTTAAACAAGAAGTGATTTATGGATAAACATAGTATTTGAACAATGTTTATAAAACTATATTAATTTTTGTATTTATTCCGCAGTTCAAGTAGTAATTTATTTAAAAATTCTAAATACATAAGTACATAAGTTATCAAAAACTATTTTTAAAACATTTCATTACTGAAAATTTATTTATAGGTTTTTTAAGTTAAATATGAGCTGATCATAAAATGACCTCATAGGATTTAAATATTGTCCAACCTTAGAGCCGTTGTCTCGGTGACTAATATTTCGATGGTTAAACTGCTACCGGATGATACGAAACTCTCACCAAGTGAACAAGGTCGACTGGTATTTTGCAAAATTGCGTGATCGCAGCTACGTGGTACTTTATCTTTACAGTAACGAGCTAGAAGAGAAGTATTACTTGCCAATCGGCTACTCGGTAATGAACTATCAATACTGTTAACGTTGCCGGAGTTCTCGTTTTCTTTTTCACTACAAAAATATTAAAAAAATATTTCCTGTATTTACATAAAGGTAAAGGTGAGCAAATAGATAGTGTTTTTTAACGACTTTTAAAAATAAGAAAACATAGAACGTGGGTAAAAATTAAAGAGTATTATTTTATTATATAAGAACACAAATTCAATTTGAAAATACGTAAAATATAATTATTTCATGCATAACTTTACACAATCTAATTTAGCTTATTTTATATACAATAAATATGTCTATGATTTTATTGTTTTAAATTGATATTGTTTTTAAATTAATATTCTTGTAAAATTAATTATATTATACTATTAGTTTAATCTTCGATTATCGGAAATTTACACGAAGCTAATTTAGTGATCATACAAACTAACCATAATACATCGTTGCATTCAGTTGCCGAGAGAGGCATCATCTCCCCATCCCAGATCTTTAGAGTGGTGGAACATTCGTCGTCGGTATTGGCCGGTGTTGTACTAACGTGAAATTTAAGTATGGACAACCAAACACGGAACTGTGGTTGAGGCATTACAGGTTTTTGTCTACCCCATTTAATATCAGCCTTAGTTGGAAACTTGGGAATTGGTCTAGGTGATGTTGGAGTAGGAAAGCTATTACTTTCGCCACGCAAATGATAAAGGCATGTACTATTTCGCGGTAATGAGTGTTGAGGTGAGGTAAGAACGCCACCAGCGTCGCCCCGCAGCCAAAATTCGCAGCGTTTATTCTTAGCGTAGGTAGTAGAATTTGAGTCAACAAACTTCACCTATAAATTAGAAGAAATATAAGATTATTCACATATTTACATAATTAAGGAATATTGAAATGAAATAACGAGAAAATACAGAGAGAGGGAGACAGAGATCTTAATCAATTATATTTTTGACTTTCTTTCTATCCAAAATTTGAAATAATATTTTGTAATAATTTGTAATCTTTATATTTCCTTATGAAAAATTCATGTAAGTTTACCTTCATTTAAAGTTAAAAATATTTTGTTCTTCCATAATAATAATAGTATATTAATATATAATTCAAAATGCTGGACTACAATTTTTACTATGCCAAATAATCAAACTTAATTATTGATAAATTATAAATTGCATTACATAAGTCATCCTTCTCCCTGCATACTCCTTTCGACTAAATTTTGCTCAGCTTACTTGTCTTCCAAGGAGTTTCGAATTATCACTATTTGCGACCAATTTGGGCTCTTACCAACCTACGTTCGTCCTACCGCTAGACACAGCGTTTGTCACGTTTCACTCAAATATGATCCACTCACGCCCCGCTATGTGATCTTTATCTCCTCCTTTATCTCAATATAATACTCATGGAAGGACACGATTAAAAAATCTCTCTTCTAAAGCTCCCAAATACGCATTCAAGGACATAATTTATTTGCATCATTCTTGAGCGTTACCTCATATTTGTCTTTAATTTATCTTTATTTTATATAATTTATAATTATATTTATTTATTTATATGCGATAACACGGATGTATTAATACTTATAAGATTAAAGTATTTTTTTAAAAAGTCATCCATATATTTTTGAATAAATATAATAGTAGTTACAAGACTTTAATGGATACAACGGTGGCTTCTATTAAGCACGCGTGCGCATAAAAATATATACATACTTAAATCTCTATAACTTACTTGTACATCCAATTGAAAACCATGTAGCGAATGAGGTGGTGATGGATGAAGAAACGTCCCGTATGGTGAAGTTGTAAAAACAACAAGAAGATCCTTGCCACTGCTAACGACTTCTGGGAGAGGTTCGCCACCCCCGCAAAACTTTAGTATCACTGGCTCCATTGTATTATAACCATCATAAATAGTTACATGATCCTATCGTTAAAAAATTCACTAATGATATATCTTTTCAAGCATAATTTAATGCAGTAAAAATTGAGTTACAAAGTATTATAATTATTATAAAATAATCAATAAGATAACAATAATAATGTAATACTGTCATTATTTTGTAAATAAAATAAATAAATCATAACATAGACAATAATTTGAAAAGTAAAATTTCAAATTATGAAAGTTGATAAATTGAAACAATGAATTATAAGGTCACATTAACATTGCGTTGAGTATTACGAAAATAAATATATATTATTTTATTAAAAATCACTAATATTTAAAATATAATTGTGTATTTCTATTCTGTAGATATATAAATATAATGCAGACTTTAATAAAGAATAATTTGTTACTATAGTTTATTACCTTAACTATGTTACAATCATCCCAAAGTTGAAGCTCGCGAGGTGGTAGCTCAGCCTGAGTAGGTGGCTTCGATCGTACAGCAATTAATTGACCGCGAGGCTGTTTCACGGAAATTAAGGGATGTTTTCCTTTTGGAACTTCATGTTGACGAATCTGTTATATAATAATTTAATTTTAATTATTTCCAATTGCTTATAAAACAAATACCATGTTTCGATAATAATAATTTTATATTGCGGAAATTAGAATATATATATATATATATATATATATATATATATGCTAATTGCTAACATATGCTAATTAGCCAAAAATTAGTTATGTGAAACAATACTACTTTGGTATACAGAAGATAAATCATACGCAACATAGTTGAGAATAAGTTATAAAATATTGAAAATTTTTATTAGTTAAATTTGTAAATTATTTAATATGAAAAGTAAAAATCTCTTAATTAATAAAAGGAAGAATTAATTCACTACTACAGACCACTATAGTTTTATGGCTGACATATTTAAAGGAACCTGAACCTGAATTAACTATTTTTGCTTTTATTTCAAATCAGTAGGGAAGTTATTACTTGTTATAGCTTCTAGTATGTTAGGCATATTAAATTAGAAGTTGAAGTAAATTGCATTTAGACTATATCGAATTAAGTTATATTGTATCAAATAATTAATTAATTACTATTTTATTTAATTCTGAATTTCTTATATTTTAATTTCAGTATTTCAATAAGCTCGACGCATAGCTAGTATTTATTCACTAAAATAAAAATATTTGTCAGTATAATATATATTAGTATTTATGATTTTTAATGAAATAATAAATACATTGTGATTAACGATTTAAATTTAATGATATGAAAATGAAATAAATAATATAATTTATAATGAAATAAGAATGTTATATTAAAAATATCTTTAATCAATTATAATATTATGAAATAATATTGATACAAAAGAAATTTAGAAATACTTTATAGTATTGTATTATAATAATTTCTAGAATAATTTTCTATAATAAATTCTGGAGTTTTATCTCCAGTGGTCTTGTATATGTATATAGAAACAAATTTGTATACTCAGAAAAATAGATATTTAAAAAAATTTTAATAAATTATTTATAAAAGAATTACGCGAATATTAATAAATTATACAAAATCTTGAAATTTCAAAAGAAACTTCACAAATTTATAATTTACCATTAATTCATTGCAATTAAAAGGGAGTAATTTATTTACAGTAATCTCAAAGTGTCGAGTTGAAACAATTTATAATTTATAAAAATATTTTGCTATGTCTTCAATATAAATAAGTATAAATAAGTTTAAATGACAATATTTATTTAATTGAACTTTACTTTCTCATTTTATCTTTTTCAATACATAATAATTAGCAACTTACTGCATAATAACATGTTAAATTTCGTGGATAAAGTCCAGGGAAGTTAGGTGACTGTAGGCGACATCTTTTTTTATCACAGTCACTGAAGGTCTTAGAACAATAAGTACCGGAAATAAGTTCACCCAAATATTGTTCAGAATTATATTTTCGCGTTGTTGGCTCAATTTGCAATGGCGGTGGTATCTGTGTAGATTGACGGTTCTCAATTGGAGTAGATTTAGCTATAACCGTAGGGTTTAATGTTGTTAAATATTTTGATGTTGCATTTCCAGTTTTACTAGATGATCGTTCGGTTGGGATAGTCACGCTTGCTATTGTAGTCGTATTCACAATTGTAGCCAACGAAAAATTCGTAACGCCTGCAAGGAATTATTTTGTTATAAAATTCTCAACAATATGGAACTACTTGATTTTTACTATTTAATATATATCATGTTAAATTAATTTAGTATCATTTGAAATTTGATATGTCTATTTTAGTAATTATCATGAAAAATTATTAATTAAAATGTTTTAATCACTGGCCTCCTATATTAATATAACCTAATTTTAAAAAGTAGGTTTAATTTATGTATTAACGGTCATATAGTTTCATAAAAATTCTTTTATATCAAAGATCATTTTCTCTCATCTAATTATATCTATTATTAGAAAAAGCAAACTTAATTTTCAAATAAATGAATTGCCATGCGAAATCACCAACGCAAGCATCGACTAACATGCACCTATCATATAGTTAAAGATAAATAGATAATCTAAAAAATTCTTGTTTCGTATTTTATTCAATATTTTATTTAACATTAATAGTTTTCAACTACAGAAAAATAATGTTAAATACACTAAATCTTTACGCTTTTAAATATTACTTGAATGAACAATCGTTGTAAATTCAAAACTAAAATAAACAAAATTTATCATTTAATGAACATTTATTAGTAATATACTAAACTATTATCTTTATTTGGATTTATAATTTTCTACGTTAGTAAAATCCGTAATCAATTTCAGTCAGGCCAATTAATATTGTAAATTTTAACCAATGTAAATTAGATAATTTATAACATTGTAAAAGGTACTTTTAATAAATAATTATTTATTCCTAAAAATGAATAAATAAATGTCACGTAAGACAATATGTTTAACCATGATATTATTGTTACATTATCTTACATAAAAAGAGAATTGTATTTAGAATAAATTTATTTAATATTTGATTTATTATGAATTCATTTTACAATTCTTAAAATCCATTATTAAAAAGTATGTGGAAATTAATTATAAGTTGATTGATACATTCTTTAATAATCTTTCCATAAATTAATTTTATAATTATGATTATTTTTGTAGTCAAAATCAGAATTTTTCTAATAATTACAATTTTTGTTATGTAATTGTATAATAATAACAATGTAATAAATATTGTATGAATATTGCATTTGAATGACATATCTTTTCAAAAAAAACTTTATAAATACATTTAAATTCTAATTATTAAACTATTTATATATTTTAAACTATCATATATATATTATAAACTAAAAATTTCTCTTTTATGATTCCCATATATAGTTAACAAAACAATATTTAGAAATATTATAAAAATTAAATTTAATATTCAGTATTTGACTGACCGACAAAGGGATTGTTGTATCGCACAACAGCATCAGAACGGCGAATCATCTTGTAAGCCATGCGAAAGTCAAAATTGAATCCAGTTTGATCTTTACTGAGTCTGAAAAGCCGTAATGTTATTGAAACTATTGGAGTCTCACTGTAGTAGATGGCTGGTCCCCAAGATGTTCCACACCAATGACCACCGACATCTGGTCGATTTGCTTCTGATATCTGTAGCGAACCGTCTGGACATCCCGCCACAGTAAATGACACGAATTTTCCGAGCGTAAAACTATCGAATGTTAGCTGAAGTTTCAACAATTAGTTTTAATTTAAAATTTTCAAATAGAAAATTGAATCAATTAAAATTAAGCTAGTTATATTTTATTTGATTTTAACTATATTTTTTATTTATCTGTGATCTTAGATGTTATAATAATACATATTAGCCCTCTTTTTTTTTTTTTACTGTGAGTATTATCGCCAAATATTGATATAAATAGGGAAATATAAAATTTAAATGAAAATCACGTACTTTTTTCATAAAAGTATTTGTTATCAACATAATAATTTATCTTCGTAACATAAATAACAAAATATTTATCAATAAATTTGAGTAGATATTGTAGATTCGAGCAATATTATCAGTAATTGATTTATTGATTTAATCTAAAAATCACATAAAAAAATGCAATCACTATAACTATAGACATTTTAATAAGAAAGAAATTACTTTGATTAAAATAATAAAATGCTTGTTATGTATTTAAATATACATAAATGTTATTTTTGAGTAAATCATACGATATCGTTTATACTCAATTTGTCATTTTTTTTTTCGGCTCATATGTCTTTTCCCATCAATTTACTATTTATCCGAAAAACTTAATAAGCAATTTTTAAATTAACGTCTTTGAAAATGGATGATTATATAAAATATAGATAAATACATTTTCAATGTTTAAAGTTGGCCTTTAAATTAAGACTAAAATAGATGATCTAATAACGGGCCAGATATTTCGTTGGAAAATCGTTGCAAGAAAAATTACCTGAATAATATCACCGAAATCCCCACCTGGTGCACTAAAAGTAAGTTTACAGAAGTAAGGCACCTTGTCTTCTTTTGGGCGATGGAGCTCAAGATCATAAGTTTTGCCGATATCTCCATAGTAAGTTCTATTGCAAGCTGCGGTACAAAGTCACGGGAATGTATTAGTAATCAATTTTATCATAATGTTAGTTTTATACAATAATTTTGTAATCTTTTTAATAAATATAAAATTATCCATATAACGTATGTATTACACATATGTGTATTGTGGTACAAGATTCTGGTGAATAAATTGGTTTATCATTTTCAAGTCTGCGTATTCAACAGACTTTAAGTAACTTTAATTCGATAAATATCGGTAAAAATTGTCTCTTCTAACTTTATAAATCTTCAAATTATATTCATTATTTTAATTTTAATTAAATTATGTCCTTACATTTAGTCAGACACATAGTATGCAATAAGTATATATTTTTATTTTATTACTTCTCCATGTATTTGTTTAATTACTCAGCAATGACACATTTCATTCGTTACCCTTAACATCACGTCGTACATTGATATTACAACAGCAATCGTTATATAGGCTAAATCATGATGTACTTTCAAAAGAAGCTTAATTTTTTTATAATTCGCGCAAGTACTGTGTATCTGTTGAGTTCATTTTATTTTGATATTCAAGATTTATTGTAATACTTATTGTTTGATTCAATTTCAAAAGGAATATGCATATTCTAATATTCTCTATAGGCCCACATTTCTTCTATTTTTAAGCACTATGTTTATTTACCTACTAAATAAAAAAGTTATTCATTTTTTAATGCAACAAAGTACTTCGCTACTTTTCGAATAATTTCACTAATTATATTTTGCCATTTTTCTCATAAAGTATTTATTTATAAAAGATTGAATATATATTATAAGTAAAATAAATAATCGAAGCTATGGCTATACTTCTAATTCCGAAGATGCACGAAATTATTATATCGGGTCGTTTAATTATATCGTGGTCATTATTCTTTATCTATTTATAATAAATGTTAAAAAATCATCATATTCTATAAAAAATTATATTATTTTATGAATATAATAAACAAAAAAGTATTGTATTTAATTACACTTTTTTTGTTGAAAAACAAGAATATGATTTCTTGGAATAAATAAATTTATATAAACATATTTAATAATGTTTATTTAATAAGTGTATCATGAAACAAATTTATAGAGTAAATAAAAGTATATTATTAGAATAAATTTATATAACAGTCGGTTTTAATTAAAATAAGATTTGAAAAAAAATTTTTTCAAAACATATTTTTTGAGAAAATATTAAATTATTAATATCATTAATATTAAATTTTTATTTTCTTCAAAAAAAATACTATAAGTGATTAATAATTCAAAAATATCAATCAATATTATGAAATTGAATTAAATCAATAGCTAATAAACTAATGTTACGAAGATTAAAGGTGTTCTTTAGATTTGGCCTCTCAAAGATCACGTCAACCATGCAATTTACTTAGGCTTCGACTAATACATGTTGTGGTCTGATCTTAGGGGTTGCGTGTTTTTTATTATACGGCTTCTAAGTTGTAGGGTTGGTGAAAGCTCGGATTACTTGAATCAATACGATTAAAATATGGGAAACAGAATACAGAAAATTGGAAAAATAGAGTTATTATGATTTTATTTTACTTATAATAAATTACATACATTAATAGAAAAATAAGATGATTAAAGTATTTTCAAAATTTGAATTTATATATATATATATATATTATTATAATCGATTATTAGCAATCATTAGAAATTATATAAATTTTTTATAAGAATAGTTGTTTGAGATTCAGAGAATCTCTGGAATGTTATCATTTGGAGAAAAATCCCAACGGCTACCATTTCATGGAAATTATTCAACAATTACAGAACGATTACTCGCTTAGCTGTTGAAAGTTCAAAGTCAATGAAATCGTATTATAGCAATAACGAAGTTAGCTAACTAGGTCCCTTTATCTCATTTGGACACATCCATTAATGAAGTCTTAGATGTGAAAGAACAAGTTGAAGAGTTACAAAAGGCCTTTAACAAGGAACACACTTACTATCGCCAGCAATATTACTAATACTACTAATACTAATATGTTACTAATACTAATACAGTGAATACTAATACTCAACAGTGCAATCACTCATCAATAAACTACATCGCGGTGAAAATGAGTATAAATAAGTCAACAAAACCAACCACAAGGTCGGAAGATACATCACCAACGATGGGGCATTGAAGGGAGGTGGCTCGTCACCCAGACGTTCCAATTTCCAAATTCTGAGGCAATTACTTAGCATGGCTTCTGTTCCGAAATTTGTTTCAATCAATAATCCTGTATAGCCATGGGCTCAGTAAGGTACAAAAACTGTATTAGCTAAGAAGACTCAACAGCCAAAGTCATCTCGAGTTTTCCATTACAAAATAACTCTCTTGCACTGACATAGGAGAATCTAACAGAACCACATGAGAACTCCCGACGATAAATCTAATCTCATCTTAACGAACTCCTCTCTAACCCATCAACAGTGAAAGATGAGGTAGAGTTTATAGAAGACTTAATTAGTGATGCAAGTGCCTTGCTAAAAAAAAGTTACGCCAGTTAGACCTCGAAATTGACCCGTGGAATTGCATAACTATCCACCAAATTTGACAAAAGTTCACCCAGTACACGAGAGATCAATTGGAAAGCTCAATAGGTGACTCCGGTTTAGACCTCAAGTTCGAGCAACTCAAAACATTCCTAATGTCTCGAGTGATGGCTCTGGAAGACAAAAAACAATCACCGAACACTAGTCGCCCTGCCCTGTCTCATTTATCGAGGGAGAGGTCAGTCGAAGCTTATCAGTCGGCAGTAAAGACTGAATTGAAGGGTTCACAAAAAGGCCCCAAGAATAACAACATGTGCTATTGCTATCAACAGGAACATTTGTTGACCGTATGCCCCACATTTAAGGAAATGTCGATAGCGGAAAGAAAGGGCTTCGTAAGTAACGTGCACTTGTGTTACAATTGCTTGGGTCGCCACACCACTTACACGTGCAAGAAGAAACGCAATTGTATGAAGTGTCACAAACGGCGTAATACACTACTGCATGATGAACAAATCTCGACTTCAATCAAACCAAACCATAGTTTATCAACACTTTCGCACAAGACCGTCTAAGACATTTCCAATTCTAGTGCATCTAGCACAAAACCGTCGCAGGCCTTCCTCATACTAGTTGCCATCAACTACACATTCTCAGCAGAGCCACAAAAGAAGGAACTTGCAACAGCTTCATACGGAGCTCGCTAACAACCATTCCAGAACCCTCTATCAAGGGATTATCAATGTCAGGATTGTTTCGCTGGCAATTAATACGACAACGTGTACAAAAACTCTGGTCATAATGGTCAGCTTACTAGTTACAACGGTAACAATCAATTTCCAAATGGCATCATCCAACAATTTTCTCCTACCAGGCAACTGGTAGCCATAGTCTATTTATAAACAATGGTATTATTTTATTGAATATCATGTAATGGAAAAGCGTATTTTCATATTTTTAGATATAAATTTGTGATGAACTATACAAATAAATAAATGCAAAACTATTTATTAAATAATATATTGTTTAATTGTCAATTCATGAATAAAGCAGAATTATTTTCAAGCATAATGAAATAATATATTTTGTATTAAAAACATATATTAAATATATGTATATATATATATATATATATTGACTGTTATTAATTTTCTTTAATTGTGTACTATTTATATTACTATTTATATCGACAATAATGTATCAAAAAATTATATAATAATATAAAAGGTTATATACAGTATAGTATTTCATTTATAGCTTCTTTAATTTTACATAAACGACTAATATGTGAAAATAAATTGATTGTACCTTAGAAAATGGTAATGTGGGATGACCTTCAAATCAATAATGTAAATATATAAAGTATTCGGATTATTCTACAACTCTGATAAAACAAATTAATAATTTATAAAGTTATTAGTTATAAAAACACTGAAAGAAATAATAGTATTTTATATGGATGATTAAAATTCGTATACTAATATTTCTCCGATATGATTATATATCTTGTATATCATTGTACAGCATATTTTACATATACATATGTACTTAATTAGTATAAATTTTAATCAAATTTGTGTACATGTAATTATGTATATTATATTTTTTTTAATATATGCGATACTTTTTATAAAAAATTATATATAAATTGTAATATAATTAAAAATATATAGAAAATATTTTTTGCAATTACACTTTTTATACTTCGTATAATAGTTGCTTAAACTTATAAACATAAGAACTAGAAAGCAAACACACAGGCACACGCACACATCCACACACACACACACACACACACACACACAAATTTGTTTAAAAAACTATAAAAAATTACATTTTTGCTGCTGATGGTAATAACCTTGGCCAGTCTAATTAAAAAATATGTAATGAAGTATAATGAATATACAAGGTGTTGCAAAATAAAAATAATGTCATTCACGATAGGGAAAATGTATGAGTTAAAATGTTACATTAGCCTGGGTATATTGGCGATGACTATATATCCTTAAATGAATAGACAAATAGATAGTGATATCGATATAACGATCGAAATTTTAATAATTCACAGCGAATCTGTAGTGGCGTTATTAGCAACCAAAAACAGTATTGAATAATCGTTGATACGTACCGCAAGTAACGCATAGCGTGTCTATTATATCAGCCCTAAAAGAAATTCATATTGCACATCGCAGTAGACATCCAGTGTATTTAATATCATTGTGATCACAACGAGAGGTACATCATCATCATTGACGATAAAGCAGAAAGGGTAATATATACTGATTGTGATATAAGGCCTATTTAAGAAGCAGTATTATTTCTCACAAGTGTGGCTTAAAGTATTTGTATTACATTACGATTAATATAAAGATTCATAAAATCTATACTAAGGTTTATCTTCTCATCTCTGTGAATGAATCGTAAATGGATCAATAAATTATAATTTACAAATCATATTGAAAGAAAATTAAAATCAGTAGTAGTGCTTAAAAAATTCCAAAATATGTGAAGAGTAAAAGATTTTTAGTGAATTACAGTGTAATAAGAAAGTTTATTAAAAACGATGATCAGCCTCTATGAAAGAGAAAAGTAATGTAAAGCTGAACATATATGGGAATGTGTATACAGATAAATTTTAATTACATTAATTACAATCATAAAAATATTTAATCAATTTTGCGTTTTTGTTCATAAAAATATTAAATGAAGGTGGTGATATCGATGAGAAGGATATTCTTGCCTCTTTCCTACAGAAGAATATCAAGTATATAGCGATTTAAGAAATTTGTGAAGAAAGTGAAAGCTATAATATATTAGCTGTTATTGGCGTATATTGCTGTTCAGCTCTAAGAAGTCTAAGTATTCGTACAGATTATTACGACGTCATTCGGTGCTTAAAGCCGAGTCCTTGACGAGGATCGACAAGCACATTTTTAAAAATATTAAAAAACTCTCGAACTATACTAAAAAATTGTCATACGATGAGTAAAAAGAAAGAGATAATTATAGAATTCAATTTTACAATTATACAAATTATGAATTACTATCAAAATGAAACATTTATAACACATAATACACAATAACCAATGTTATAATAAAATCTAATATTAAGAGAATATAAATCTGCAAAATTTTTAAAATTTATCTTACTACATATTACAGATGCATTAAGAATAAAATAAAAAATACAAACCATTATTTGATTTAAATGTATTACAATTATATAAAATAACATTATCATCAAACTTTTTTGGATAACTATTATCTACGGTTTATAAATCAAAATATGCAATTGAGTTGATCTTCTATAAATATACTTTTTTACATTTTAATCATGAAATATATATAAGTAAGATCATTTATATTGAACGTTGATAACAGATAAAATTTAGATATCACTGTTAAGATGTCTGAAAATCAAAATATTGTCTAATAAAGAATAAATTAATTATTGTTAATGAGATTTATAATGCATAGTTGTTTAATTAACATTTGGAACGAAGCACTTATTACTTATATGATTAATAATACTTATTAATCTTAGGTAATATATTCTTTAATTCGCAAAATGTTATTAACTTTTAATTGTGTTATAAAGTAGTGATGATAAGACAATATAAAGTTAACAATTTATTATTAAATTCATAATTTTAATGATTATGAAAAATATAATTATTTTTATTTATTTTAGAAATTAGTTCAATTAGGGATATAAATTATATTTTACTTCAGTATATCTAATCTATTTTCAATTTTATCATAATGAATATCATTGTCTTTATATTTATGAAGAATTTTTCACCGACTTATCCTCAAAATAAATTAGATATTTTAATAATAAATTAATAAATTTTGTACACAAAACATAATTAGTATCCATATATTACTATATTATGAACATATATTATTATATAACAGTATTGTACAATAGTATTAGGATTATGCTAATAATAAGTAATTAATAGTAATAGAAAATTATAATAAGGAATGTAATAAATAATTAATAATAATATGTAATTAATAATATTAATAACACTAAAATTAAAAAGTTAAAGTAACTTATTTATGAGTAAATTAAACAAAATATTTGGAAACTATATTTAATTTAAAAAGTTAACAAATTAAATAAAAGAGTAAAAAAATTAAATTGAAGAAATATAAAAATATAAATAATATTGCAAAAGTAATGGATATAAATCTGTTTTTGTAGAAATTTTAATATTATATTTTGTAATTTTAGTTAGAATGTGAATATTTTTCTTATTACTCTTTTTTTTTTTTTTTAATTAAGTTAATTTTTATAAAATATTCTATATAAAAAATATATATTTATATATATAATTTCATAATAAAATCTTACATATGCGTGTATAATTCGAAATCAAATTTTGTTCCCTTAAAAATAAAAATAAATAATAGAAATGAAAAAGAAATATGAAATTGGATTACAATTTTTCTACTCGAATATTCAAAAGAAATATATATGTATAATATATTATGAACGTTTAAGCAAATACGATCTTAATAAATCTAATTCAATACTTTAGACTTATAAAACTTTTCATTTAAATATGCATAAAATTATGAAAAGTATTGTACAGTAAAATTTTTATAAGATGTATGGATATAATGCATTTAAAAGGAAATGTTATTAATTATCCGAAAAGGGATGAACATGGGAGCATGATAACAAATTCAGCCAGGAATATTGCAACAGTGTATAATACATCCATAATGAAACTAAAATTAATGGAGTGAAAAAAATTTATAGCATATGATACAGTAATTTACTTATTTTTTACATATTACGACCTGTTTTAAGATATACGATTAGAGCGATGATAAAGTATGAGATGTATACATATTGTAATGAGATGAAATATATGAAGTATAAAAAGAACATTTTAAATTATTTTATAATTCAGTCTATGAAAAATGGCGAAGGCAAATGCAATAGTAAATATTATATGCCAAAATTTTGTACTAATTTTTCGAGTGATGCAATCTCACGAAGTCGATCTTATTACTATACTCAGAGAAATTGCTGGAGAACATTCAAAATTCATGAATTTTATAAAATAAAAAAAAATACGATAAGCCAGATAAAGTGGTTTGAATAGTGTTTCTGTTAAAATAATCTTTAAGAATTGTATTGAAATTTTCAATATTGGAAATAAATCACCTGAAAGTTATTTGTGATAAATTCTAAAACAATTCTATCATAAATATGAAAATCTTTCCTATTTTTGAATACTTATCACCTTAAATTTTTAGAACATTTATAAATTCATAATGTATAGTTCAAAACTTTACACGATTAGTTATTTCTATCTATACTTAAGTATTTGTATATCAATGTATTATTTTTAGTAACAAAGAAAATACTACGTGTCAAAACAGTTTACGGTTTAAGGTTGCATATTTTTCAGAAAAATATTCATCTAAGCTTTTTTCTTATTCTCTATCGAATTTCGATTACTTTCAGATGTTTGTAAGAATATAAGCTTGAACGAGACAAATTATAATAATGTATTTTATACTAGTCATCTATTACCTTATTAAAAAAAACTTATCTCTGGCCAATTTACAAGTCAAATATCAATTAATTTTAAATATTTTATTATTTCTCTTTAATATCACTAAATAAATTTAATTGACTAAATAAATATAAACAAATTAATATAAATAAATTAAATATGTAATATAATTAGATAAATTTAACCGAGAACTTCTACACAATCACAATTAAAAACGTAATTATTAAATAATTGGAAATTTTCAACTTTTTCCCATATAATTATTAATGTTAATTATTAATTAAATAATGTTACAAATAAAAATAATTAATCAATCAATAATTTTATTTATTGAATCATTTTAATTCATTGATATCGAAATCTAAAACAAAAACTCATGAAGTGCTCAAAGTTACTCTAGTTACTTTTTATTTTTACTTTTACTTTAATTTTACACAAAATTACGTCTAATACTATATTTAGTAATTTTTTAAGATTAAAATAAAAGTTCTATTTCAATAAATAATCCGAATATATATATATATATATATATATATATATATATATATATATATATATATTAATAAATGTAAATAATAATAAGGTAAATGCTGAAGTCTATTTCTAAATATGCCAAATGTATAATTTAATTATTTCCGTTTTACATAAATACTAATATAGTATTATTAATAATTGTTGTAATAATTATTTTTAATAAAACAATTGTAATTTGATATTTTTAAAATACAGCTATTAAGTTTTATATATTGCTTATTTGATAATTTAGAAGAAAGCCCGAATATTTGTCGAATTGTATACATACTGGACTTGGAAATAAAATATTCAAAATATAAATATAAATATAAATATAAATAAAATGTATAATATAAATACAAAAATATATATATAATATATCAAATGTGAAATAGAAATACATAATATATAAAATATAACTATTACTTATATATTTTTATATATAAATATATAAGAAACAACAAATATAGAATTTTAACTCACGTGAACATTGCTGTTGCTCATCGCTTTTATCACCACAATCATCCACAAGATTGCAAATCTTATTGAGACTAATACAACGTCCATTGATACATTGAAATTCACTTTGTTTGCAAGAGAATACAAATGTTACAGTAAAAATACTACTGTAAAAAATCCAACATGAACCTGTAAATATAAATAAATGCAAATAAATTATTCATTTTGTTGATTGTGAAGATATCAAAAAATATTAGACTAAATTATCAAAACCAATTATATATCAAATATGATATATCAGAAAACTATCGTAAAATTGCAGTAGCAATGATTAAAATTTGTTCAAACATATTCTAAAATATTTTAAATAAAAATCGTTTCTTAATAAATATCTCTATTTTCTAAATTATAAAAATAAATTTAATGTATGCCAGTTAAAGAATTTTTTTAATTAAAAAATACTTTAATAATTCTTGAAAGCATAAAAACTTTAATTCAATAGAAATATGTAATTAAGTTCCATATGCATTACCTATTTAACTAATTGTTTAATTTTCTACAAAACGGATTTTTAGAATAAGATAAAAATACAAACAAATATAAAAGTATTCTCAATTTACAAAAGTAACTGTATGGTTATATACTTAAAATTATTAACTAGCATATTAATTACCTAGAATACATATAATAAACGCCATAATACAGGTTAAGAAATTTTAAAATGTGTAGAAAAATAATATTGAAAAAATATTTACGAAGAACTGATATTATAGATCTGTTAATTAAACAATTCAATAAGAAATATTAATGATTAAATATATTTATGCAAAATTTAATAAGTATCTTTATATTTAATAAGTTATTTAATAAATGGTTATTATTAAATTTTATTATTAAATAACATTTAATAAATATTCACAATATTTAAGAATGAAAGTATAAATAATATATATGTAACATTGTTTGTATGTACTATTAAGTAATTTATTGAATAAAACATGAAATGATTTTAGTAGATAAAAAGAAATGAAACACGATTATACTATAATCCATAAAAATGAAAAATTTATTAAATATAAAGCAATAACAAAATTATATATAAAATTATTACTAATAATATGCTTTATATAGGTAGAAAATTAAAATACTTGGGAATATTATCAATTATGAAAATATAATTTATGAATATTTAATTGTAAAGTTTATTGATATATTTGATGTTATGCTGATAGAATGGTTAAATAATTTTTTATTAAAATATAGTTTTCGATAATATTGCAAATATTATACATTTCAAATATAATAAATTAATTATAGTAAAAACTTCGATATTTCTCCATATTTAAACATTCCTCCAAGGTAAAATAATTTCTACATAATCAGATTTTGCTTCGTATGGAGTAGGAACTTAAAACTTCTATCCTCTAAGCTTCACGTGAACGATATGAACTTTAAGGAATATTCGTTATCGCATGCATATTCTCTTTCCTCTACCGCTTATGAGTTAGAAAGCATGCTCGTAAGACTATGTACTTAAAATCAAATGCATTATTAGTAATTAATGATTTTATTTTTAGTGAGAAAGCATAGAATCATTTAATCTCATAGCTATGAAATTCAAGTATGTTTAATCTCATTTTTTCCTCATTACATGTCAAGATCACTTGATATTCAATGTATTATATTTTTATAACTGAACATTATATTCTTATTTATTCAACGCATAAGAATTATATAAAAGTGTGATATTATAAATATTGTATTACATTCTATTACTTGAACGGTCATTTAAAGTATAATATATATTGCCTCAGTCTTATTTTTTAAAGAAAGTTTATTGATAAAAGCATAGTAATTAATAGTAATTATTACTTTTTCTCTATTTAGTATTATATTTTTTGTTGAAGTTCATATTGAATTATTAATTTTTATATAAAACAATAATATAATACAATATTAATTTATTATAAAAAAATTTTTTTAAATGTTAGTTTCATTTTTTTTCAGAAATTAGAATCTTGATTTTCTTACTGGATAATATTAAAATAACAATAAATTTTTTCTAAATATTTTAAACTATATTATAAAATGATTTGTATTTAAATAGAATTTTTTAATATACTAAATTTTTTTGATATGCCAACATTTTCAATGCGTTTCTGTTACAAGTATATTAAAGTTAAGTTAAATTACGCGTATTATTAGTCATTCCGAGAGATTAAATACCAAAATATAAATTTTTGTACTAAAAAACTATATGCTTTGACATTTACATATAAATATGATTATATTATAATTCAAGAAACGTTATAAAATATTTAAATAAAAGTGTAAAATTTACTTTTATCTAAATTTCTCGAGCAGTATAATTATAAATAATCAGCTACTATGATCATGTTATATACAATATAAACATAATAGTATTTATATATAGTATATATAACAGTATAATAGAATTATAGAGAATTAGTATATATAACATAATAATAGAATTTACAAATAAGTTTTTTTTTTATACGATAAAGTATCTGATCATTTCGTTTTTTTAGGTACTTGAAAATTTATAATGAAAAAGCAGTTCATTTTCAAAAGATAATCGCAAGTTTTAAGTTATAAACATGGCATTTAATAGTATTATGTATATTTGTAATTTTTCACAATTTCTACGATTATTATTTATATCTTTATATAATTTTCTCTCATCTGTTGTATTTCTTATTTCTTTTAACCTTGTTATTATTTCACATATAACTATTTATACATACGCATGTGTATATATTAGATGATTTTAGTAAATTTTGTATTCCTATTACTTTTTGTTTTGTACAATTTTGATTGTACTGATTATGTATTATTTGTACTAGCTAAGATATTAACAAATTATACTAGTAATATTAATTTCAATAATTCGTCATACCTTTTAAAAATATTTATAATATTTTATAAATGAATAAAATAATTCTACAACACAAAGAAGACAATTATAAAATAATAGAAGGAAGTTAGAAAATTACAACTCTATTACTTTTAATAGTAATAAAGTGATTGAAAGAAAGCTAATACTTCAAATTGAGTGAATATTTTATTTAATCATTATGTTTTGGAAATATACATCCATAGGTTTTGTTAATAACAATTTTGTAACAACATAACTAAGTTCAATAATAATTTTTCTATGAACTTCTTGTCTTGTTATTTTATTAATATACTGTCTGACCTTTGAAATAAAATTGAAAACCTGTTAAATAATGAAAAATTCAAGGAATTTTAGCAGCAATGTACCATGTAATGTATTTATTATTCAAATAATTAAATTAAATTTTTTATTCTATATGTTAATTCAAATGTAAGTTAATTCATTTATATTTATTAAGACTGTAACATGATTTTGAACTACAATTCATTTTATCTTTTAAATAAATCATGTATCTCGAATTTATCATTTCATAACAATTTTCAAATAGTTTAGTTGTTAAAGCATCATTTTTCAATTAGATAAAATGATCTATGCTAAAATATTTCAATTAGGAATAGTTTAGTTTAGTTATTAATAATTTTATATATAATTTACATTACCTTATTTTTGAATCAAGTCTACCTTTATTAGTCAATGTTATTCAATTTTTTAAAATAAAAAAAATTGACTAACACTCTAATTCTGAGTTTATAAAAATATTTTAGATGTTTCCTATTGTATTTAATCATGTAATTTATTAAAAAAAAAATTTTTAATTTAACAAATAATAATTATTTTCATGTTAACTGTTTTTCTCAATTATATATGTTAAGATCCTCAAATTAATTTAATTAAATCTCATCTAGGTAATTAAATCTATAAATAAAAGGATGTATTCAATATTAATAACATACTAAAAGCCTATTATTAAATCATTCTTTATTTATTTTTATATCTTTACTTAGTAATCTTAATTACAAGAATTATAAAATAATAAATGCATAAAAAGAAAAACTAATATGACGAAATTTTCATGAAAATACAACGATGGAACCGTAAAAATTGATAGATAAAGCATAATTATTATTGATATAACCATAAAAATAAATTTAATTATTATCACAACATTATCAAGCTCAAACATGCATGAAATTAGGAAATGAATAAAGAATTTGTACAAATAAAATTAAGAAATAGAAAGAATTATATAAGTGAAAAGATATCAAATATGATAACATAATAATAGAAGAAAGTAATGTACTCCTTTCCAGTAGTGAAAAATAAATACAAATAAATTAATAGATAGGCAGAAATGTATATTGAAATAAGAAAATGGAAAAGGTAAAAAATCACAATAGAACTTGATTATTATAAATAAATATCTGTTTGGCAAGTAACAGATACATGAATTTTTTAAATAGAAGCTTTTACATGTTAAAAATAAATAAATAAATGAATTAAGTTATAACGTATATACATATAATTATTTATGAAAATCAATTTTTTATGTCGTAATATCAATTAAAATGATATATATTTTATAAAATTAATATAGGTAGTATGAATTGACTAAGCTAGTTCGATAACGTATGATATATAAATAGATTTTGTTTATCATATTGTCCTTGAATAAATGTATATTATATATAATTACTACATATTATATATAAATACTACATAATATATATAAATACTACATAATATATAAATATATACTATAATAAATAAAATTTATTATTAATATATACGGAAATTTATAGTAGATTTATATTATTATATTATAAATTTATAGTGCAATCGATATTATTCGAATAGTATGTCGTAGTCCATATAATCCCTTTAAAAGTAATATATTCTGAAACTTTTTCTATTTTAAATATTTTAATAATTTGTTAAGTACTCTTATAAAGAACAGATACTCTTAGAATACTGAATCTTATGAAGAAAACATATAGGTTAATATTAATTTTAACATTAAGAATGTTATATCAAGATTACACTATCTTTATAAATTTTTCTAGTACTAAAACAAAAATTAACATTTCATTAAAATATTTTTATTATTGTTTTCTTTAAAAACCTTTCATCGTAAAAAACTGTAATTAAATTGTAATATAAAACTAACATCTAAATGATTTGATCGTATCATCTTCTATCATAAATTGTAATTTAAAAATTATTTACGCATAAAAGATATAGATCCAAAAAGAAAAGAGTATAAAATAAATTTTCG